GACCAGCAGGGCTCTGTCACCGAGCCGTGTGCTTGCCCGCGCGTGTCCCCAGTCGCGCCCGTGTGGACAGGCCTCTCCCTCTGCCCCTCGGAGCAGCCGCCCCAGAGCCGTCCCGCACCTACGGTCCCCGGGAGGACCCCGACAGCACCCGGGTCGCAGTTCTCAGGGGGAGTGCTTAGGTGACAAATTGTGGTCACAAAGGATATTCTTGGGCTGCCGCTGGCTCTTCTCCTGGAAGGAGTAGCTCAAGTTCAAAGCCCCCCCTTCAGAGGAGGGGGCCCGCGGGCCAGCAGCGCTCTCGTGACAGTAGGGAGGGCTGTGCTCCCCTGGTTCTGCCTCGGGAACTGGTTCAGGCAACAGCGCCGGTCAGGGACTCCCAACCATCGAGCCTTTCCAGAGTGTGCTTTTCGTGACGTAAAACAGCTCTCTCCCTTCTCCCGAGTACGAAGGGGGGAAATGCATCTGCTTGAGACCCAGGCCCACCAGTAGCGGTACGTGACTGCTGCTGCCGCTGCCGCCTCCGCCTCCAGGGGCCAGAAGAGGGGGTTTGTAGGCCCTCGGCAGTTCCCGGATGCAGTGATCCCCGGCCGGAGGAGACAGGCACCCTTACTGCCCACGCTGTATTTCAGCAGTTCTGTCTACTGGCTTTTGGGCTGGGCTCCCTGAGCTCAATCGCTGCCCACCCCCGACTTCCTGGCCTTGTGACTGTGAGCAGGTGAGCTGAGTAGGTGAGTGAGTCTCCTGTCTGTCTGAAGTGTGGGTCGTAAGTGGCGCCCTCCCTGTAGTGTGCAGTGAGGGGGATCACACCTCACACCTCCAGTTGCTGTATTCCCGGGCACAGGGGCAGCCGCCTTTGCAGGGGACAGAAGAGGCAGTAGGCCAGGCCAGGAGATGGCCCTGGCGGCACCTTGAGGACTGCTCCAAGTGTTTCTCGTCACACCTCTCCCACTTTCGTTCAACAAACCTAGCAAGCTGTCTGTGATACCTGGACACCCAGACACGGGCCTTGGGAGACTGAGCAGACAGGCTCTCTGATGAGTAGAGTCGAGCGCAGTTGCTGTTGTTGCTCAGTCGCTAGGCGGCGTCCAACACTGTCACCCCGCGGGCTGCAGCATGTCGGGCTCCTCTGCCCCCCAGTCTCCTGGGGTTCGCGCGAACTCACGTCCATCCAATCCTCTATCCTCTGTGCCCCCTTCTCCTTTTGCCTCTCAGCGATGCAAGTGCATTCATTCATGCAAGTGCCATGAACACAGGACTGACGGCCCTCGGGGAGGCAGACGTTAAACAAGCACCATGAGCACATCTGACTGGGAAACCACACACCCCCACCCGCTGGGTAGGGGTGTCCCGGAAGACCTCTCTAAGGAAGAGAGACTGGAATTCCCTGATGGTCCAGTGGTTAGAATTCTGAGTTCTCACTGCCAAGAACTAAAATTCCCCAAGCCTCACAGTGTGGCCAAAACAATTTAAAATAAACACATAATTTTATAAAGGGATATTATGCTGAAAATGGAAGGATGGAGGAGAAAAGTGCTTGGAGGAAGGGAGAGTAAGGAAGGAAGGTGGGTCAACTGCATGTCAAAGGCCTGGCGGTCAGGAGGAGCAGGAGATGCAGGCGGAGACTGGGTGTGTGGAGCGCAGAGAACAGGAGGGAAGGGTGGTCAGGAGCCAGCCACGTGGGGCTGTGGATCCAGGACCGAGTTAGGAAGGAGGGGGAGAGGCAGCAAGTAACGTTATCTGGCTTGTGTTTTTAAATATATGCTGAGCATAGGATGGACTGGGTTTCCCTGGTGGCTCAGCTGGTAAAGAATCTGCCTGCAATGCAAGAGACCTGGGTTTGATCCCTGGGTTGGGAAGATCTCCTAGAGAAGGGAAAGGCTACCCATTCCAGTATTCTGGCCTGGGTCACAAAGAATTGGACACCACTGAGCGACTTTCATTTTCATTTTCACAGGATGAACTATTGTGGGGCAAAGAAAGGAGCAGGCGGTCAATTTTATTAGGCCAGAAGACATGCGGAAGGAGCTGGGGTGACTGCTCTTAGAGTCCAGTGTAAATCCCATAGGTTTTCCAGTTACTCGATTCCCTGTTACAGACCCTAGGGTGAACGGCTGACATAACCTGACCTCTTGATTGAGTACTTTGAAGAGATAAACCTGTTTGTTGCAGGAAGGGGACCCCCTTGCAGGGCCTGAAAGTGGGCTCTTGTCTAACACTTGGAAGTGAATTGTTCGAGGAGACACATGTGCTTACAAGGCAAGGGATTTTATTGGGAAAGGGCACCTGGGCAGAGAGCAGGAGGTCAGGGAACCCAGGAGAACTGCTCTGTCACATGGCTTGCAGTCTCAGGTTTATGGTGATGGGATTAGTTTCCAGGTTGTCTTTAGCCAATCATTCTGACTCAGAGTCCTTCCTGGTGGTGCATGCCTTGTTCAGCCAAGATGGATGCCAGAGAGAAAGATTCTGGGAGGTGGTTGGACATGTGGTGTCTCCTTTTGACCTTTCCTGAACTCTTCCAGTTGGTGGTGGCTTATTAGTTCCGTGTCCCTTACCAGGACCTCCTGTTGTAAAACAATTCATGCAAATGGTTACTGCGGTGCTTGGCCAGGGCGGGCGGTTTCAGCCAGTGTGCTTCCCCTGACACCTGCAGAGAGAAGGGGGACTTCTAAGCTCCCCGAAGGCTTGCATATAGGGGACTTCGAACCATTTGCCATTCCATTTGAAGAAGTTAGTGAGATCTGATAAAATATTGAAATCAGAAGTCCTGAACTCAGGCCAATGATTTTGGTCACCCAATTTGTATTGAGGCCAGATTTGAGTACAAAGTGACTCGAGTTTATGAACCTTGAGATCAGTCAAGAGCAGAGGTTTGAGGGTTCGTTGTATGCAGGCCAAGGGACAGTTCCGCGGGACGGATTGGCTTGCTGCTGCTAAGTTGCCTCAATCGTGTCCAACTCTGTGCGACCCCATAGACGGCAGCCCACCAGGCTCCCCCGTCTCTGGGATTCTCCAGGCAAGAACACTGGAGTGGGTTGCCATTTCCTTCTCCAATGCATGAAAGTGAAAAGTGAAAGTGAAGTTGCTCAGTCGTGTCTGACTCTTAGTGACCCCATAGACTGCAGCCCACCAGGCTCCTCTGTCCATGGGATTTTCCAGGCAAGAGTACTGGAGTGGGGTGCCATTGCCTTCTCCAGATTGGCTTGACCCCATAGCAAATGGCTAATGACTGTCCGGCTGAGAGAAAAGGTCGTCACCTAATCTTTTGACTGGGCAAATGGAGAGAGAGAGAGACTCTTAAGGAGGGAGGGGTGTCCCCCAAGTACCTCCCCAGAGGGCCTTTGGGCTGGAGGGTTCCCTGGGAACGCAGAAAGGACGATAGTCTATGCACCCTAGAGTACCATTCGAGCTTCCCTGGGCTACTGGGTCAGGCGAGAATTTGTGGTGGATGGAGGGAGGTCGAATGGCAAAAGGCCTCTGTCCTGGAGTTGGTCAGTCTTGCAAAAAGGAGAGTGTAGAGAAAAGAGGAAGAGAGAGAGAGAGGCCGATATTCCTCGGGGTTCGTGGAAAACCAATAAAGCCCTTACCCAGGGCTTGTACCGCTCACGAAGGCACAGGGCATCTTCCCGAGGAGGTATTGAAAGCCCAGGCAGGGAAAGCGGGCTTGGCAGGTTTCCACGCTCTGAAGAGCTGGCCGTGGAGAACGAGATGGAGAAGGAACCTCAACCTCCCGGGTTTCGGCACCAAAAAATGTAGGGTAAGGGAGTTAGAGAAGGCGAGGTTTGGAGAAAGAAGGAGACCTGCACTTTACAGGAACAGATCACCTTTAATGAGCTGAGAGGGGGCAGCAGTCAGATGAGTGGGCTGCTGCGTCAAGTCAAGAAGAGAGTAGGTATATACAGAAAACATATGTATGCGGAGATACAGCGTTTTGAGGGGGTCTATTTTCCCTCAAGATTATTTTTGATTAGTTAACTTTCAACAACTGGGGCAAGGAATTCCTGAGACCTGCTGGAAACTGGGATTGGCTGGGAGCTGAACGTAATCAATCTTAATGTCCATTCTTTCTTTAGGGGAGAAAATTCTTGAAAGTTGAGTGCCAAAGAATCGATGATTTTGAACTGTGGTGTTGGAGAAGACTCTTGAGAGTCCCTTGGACTGCAAGGAGATCCAACCAGTCCATCCTAAAGGAGATCAGTCCTGGGTGTTCATTGGAAGGACTGATGCTGAAGCTGAAACTCCAATACTTTGGCCACCTGATGTGAAGAGCTGGCTCATTGGAAAAGACCCTGATGATGGGAAAGATCTAGGGCAGGAGAAGGGAACGACAGAGGACGAGATGACCGACTCAGTGGATATGAGTTTGAGCAAGCTCTGGGAGTAGGTGATGGACAGGGAGGCCTGGTGTGCTGCGGTCCATGAGGACACAGAGTCAGACACGACTGAGCCACTGACCTGAACTGAACTGATAGAATGGTGGGGAGGACCTAGAGGGGAGTTTTAACTCCAGGCTATTTTGAGCCCCGTAGCTTTTCTTCAGGGACACCGCTTCGCGCCCTGAGCCTGCCCGCCGGCGGGAAGGAGGCGCTCCGCCCGGGCTTCCGGGCGTGCCCCGCCCGCCCTCCCGGGGAGAGGAAAGGAGGGAGGAGGAAAAGGAGGGGTGAGGGGTGAGGGGAGGGGCGAGGGGAGGAGGGAAAGGAGGGGGGAGGGGGGAGGGGAGGGGCGAGGGGAGGAGGGAAAGGAGGGGGGAGGGGGAGGGGAGGGGCGAGGGGAGGAGGGAAAGGAGGGGGGAGGGGGGAGGGGAGGGGCGAGGGGAGGAGGGAAAGGAGGGGTGAGGGGTGAGGGGTGAGGGGTGAGGGGTGAGGGGTGAGGGGTGAGGGGAGGAGGGCGGGGAGGAGGAGGAGGGGCGCCCGCGTGCGTCCAGGTGCAGGCCCCGGCTCACCCCTGCCCACTCCCGCCCAGGTCCCGCGCTCAGTTCCCGGCCCCGCGCTCAGTTCCCGGCCATGGTGCAGGCCTGGTACATGGATGAGGCGGCCGACGACCCGCGGCGGCCGCACCGCGCCGAGCCCGCGCGCCCTGTTGGCCTGGAGCAGCTGCGCCGGCTCGGGGTCCTTTACTGGAAGGTACGCGGGGCCCGCGCGGCGGCACAGGCGCCCCTCCGGACCCCCGCGCGCCCCGCCTTCCGGCCAGAGGGGCTGCGGAGCGCGGGGGCCCGGGCTCAGTGCGCACGCTCGGCCGGGCCTGGCCGGCCTCCGGGCCTCCACCGCGGGGCGCGCCGCGCGCTCCGTGCCGGGGATCCGGGTCGGGCGGGGGTCGGGGGTCGGGGGGGAGGGCGGAGGGGTCGGAGTGAGAGGGGGGCCCGGGGTCCGCGGGTCCCCGCCGCCTCAGTGGGAGGCCGGGACCCGGTAGGCGCGGGCCTGCCCTCGAGGGCGGGGCGGGGAGGCCGGAGGGCGGTTGGGGGTCCCTGAAGGGTCCACTGTGCGTCTCCCTGGGGTGGGGGGGGGGCGGCTCGACGGGAGGCGCCGTCTGTTCAGACTCCTGATCTTTGGTCTTGCTGTCCACGGGACAGTTTTGGAGGCGGAGTGGACACTGGCCAAGGTCTGAAAGTGTCCAGGGATAAAGTAAGACCGTGTTTTCAGCTCCTCCGCCAGATCGAGTCGGGCTCCTCCTACCTCCCAGTTCTGTGGATGGGAAGACCCAGGACTGTTAGAATTAAACTTGTTGTATAGTTGCTCAGTCGTGTCTGACCCTTTGGGACCCCATGAACTGCAGCACGCCTGGCCTCCCTGTCCATCACCAACTCCCGGAGTTTACCCATCGAGTCAGTGATGCCATCCAACCGTCTCATCCTCTGTTGTCCCCTTCTCCCGCCTTCAATCTTTCCCAGCATCAGGGTCTTTTCCAGGGAGTCGCCTGTAGACTTGTTTGAAAGTGAAAGTGAAGTCGCTCAGTCGTGTCCCACTCTTTGCAACACAGTGGACTGCAGCCTACCAGGCTTCTCCGTCCATGGGATTTTCCCGGCACGGGTACTGGAGTGGGTTGCTATTTCCTTCTCCAGGGGATCTTCCCGACCCAGGAATCGAACCTGCGTTTCCCACACTGCAGGCAGACGCTTTACCCTCTGAGCCCCCAGGGAGGCCCCGAGTAGACTTATTTACTGCGCCCGCCCAGTGCCCTGGGCCTGTTTGTCCTTTATGATGACTTAATCTTGAGCAGGACGGTAGCTGCGCATGTTTGCCTGTTGTGTATCGGTGACGCCGTAGGGTGTGGGAAGCTCTCACGGGCGATGTGAAGGTACACGGTGTGGGGCACACGTGTGCTGTGTGGGTCTGCTCATGTGGGGAGTGTCATGTAGAAATTCACGTCTCTGGCTTCCTTGGTGGCTCAGTCGTAGAGGCCGCCTGCTGACACAGGAGACGCAGGTTGGTTGGGAAGCTCTCACGTGTCTGGGGCAAGGATGCCACACCTGTCGAGCCGGTGCTCTGTAGTCGGGGAGCTGCAACGCCTAGGCCCACGTCCCGGCTCGCTGCAGCTCCACGAAGCCTGCACACAGCAGTGAAGACCGGGCACAGCCAGAAACGCATGAATAAAATTTTAAGGAAAGAAAGAAAAAGCAGCTGGGGCCAGCCGGTAGAAAGCCTCTTGTCTGCCTGAGGAACCTGGGTTTTATTTGTGGGCTCAGAGGGCTTCAGGTGTTTTGGCTCGGGGAAACGAAGTCACCAGAGGTGCCGTAGACACAAAGGTCAGGCAGGCTTGCAGAGGGGACAGCACATGGTGGTGGCGGGGAGGTGCCCGTTACAGGCGTCAGGCCGTCGGAGCTTCCCCGGACTCCTGGTGCTGGGACTGGAAGCGTGACGTTTCAATGGAAGGGCTGTTGGAGAGAAGGGAGGTGGGAATTCCACACAACTGCAGTTTTTAGCCTTTAGGGAAAGTGGGAAAAGCATGACAAGAAATTGGGAAAGGAGGGGAAGAAAGGTGAGTTTAGGATTGACAAAGGACCAAATGATATTAATACAGTAGATGTGGAATATGATTATTCTGGAGATCCAGAATGTGGACACAGGACTAGGTAATGAATTCGGAGTATAATCATACTGGAGATCCAGAAAGAGACTGTTTGGTGTTTCTGTGTGTTCACGTGACCTCCTGTTTGTTGCTTGTTTAAACTCTTTTAGCTGGATGCAGACAAATATGAGAATGATCCAGAATTAGAGAAGATCCGAAAAGAGAGAAACTACTCCTGGATGGACATCATCACTATATGCAAAGACCAACTACCGAATTATGAGGAAAAGGTAAGGGAACTGTAAATTATTTGAAAAGGGGAATTATTAATTATTGACTATTAATAAATGCAGGAGAAGGCAATGGCAACCCACTCCAGTACTCTTGCCTGGAAATTCCATGGATGGAGGCGCCTGGTAGACTATAGTCCACGGGGTTGCAAAGAGTCGGACATGATTGAGCAACTTCACTTCCTTTCTTTCTATAGTTCCTTTTGGGGAAGGAAATGGCAACCCATTGCCAGTGTTCTTGCCTGGAGAATCCCATGGACGGAGGGGCCTGGTAGGCTGCAGTCTGTGGGGTTGCAAACAGTCAGACATGACTAAGCAACTAACACACACACACACACACACACACACACATTAATAAATGCAAGCCTTTCCTTATTTTTAAATGTCTTTCATTTTGGTTTATATGAGAGGAATACTGGCCTTAGAATAAGCTGAAAAGTATTCCATCCTTTTCAGTTTTTTGGAAGAGTATGTCTAGAATGCTTTTACTTTTTTCTTAAATGTTTGGCAGATTAACCAGTGAAGCCATGTGGTGTTTTTGTTTGTTTAGTCGCTAAGTCCGGTGTCCGACTCTTGTGACCCTATGGACTGTAGCCCACCAGGCTCCTCTGTCCATGCGACTTCCCAGACAAGAACACTGGAGTGGATTCCCATTTCCTCCTCCAGGGGAGCTTCCCGACCCAGGGATCAAAGCCTTGTCTCAGTGTCTAAAGGTCATGTTTTGTTCTCTGCGTGCTTGGTAATTATTGACTGGATGCCAGACACTGTGATTTATTCTCTTGGATGCCGGGTACTTTTGAACCAGTAGAAATCTTCAGTTTTCTTCTGGAATGCATGCAAGCTTATTGGAAACAATTGGATGCTTGAGTGGTGTTGGGTGTTGTTTAGCAGTCAGGCCGACTCTCTTGCGATCCCACGGGCTGTAGCCCCCAGGCTGCTCTGGTACACCACACAAAGCCCCTGGGATGGTGAGGTTTTTCCGGTCTGACTGGCGGGACAGGCTCTGTTCCCAGGCCAGCTGGGCCGGGGGCTGTTCCTTTGGACCCTGAGGGTCCGAGTGCCCCTTTTCCAGCTGCAGCTCCTTTTCCTCCGCATGCACAGACGGGGTGGGGAGCCCTCAGGGGAGGCCCTCTGCAGGCTCGGGGCTTCCCTGTGGGGTCTCTCTCCTAGGGCACTGTGTCCTGCACGCCAGCTCCCCCCATCTCCCCAGGTTCTCAGTGCTGCTCTTCAGCTCAGGGTGCTCCGCCTGGGTCCCCCCTCCCAGCGCCACAGCCCGAGAGCTCGCAAGTGTGGGGCTCACCTCACTGGCTTTCTGCCTCCCCGGCCACTTTCTTCCCTCTCCTGGTGTCTGGTGTTTTGCAAACTATCAGTTTGTATATTGTCTTTGCTTTGATTATTGGAGGTGGGAGGGGAGATCCAGTTTCTGTTGCCCCATCTTATATGGAAGTGGAGTCAGTGTGTTTTTTTTAAATTCTTGGTTTTGTGTTGGTTCCCAGATGTCTGTTACTAGAGAAACTCACTCATCTTTGGCCAAGTGAGAAAGCAGACGTGCAGAGTTTGTAATGAGGCTGAATGTGTTCAAGTTCAAGGACAGCCTTGTTTTTGAAATCGTTGTCTTTGCTTTTTCGGGAATAAGGTGACTCCTTTAGAAACGGCCGTGACAACAGCAGTAGTTTCCGAATTTTTCTGTCCTGATGAGCTTTGGCAGCTGTGTCGCTCCCAAGACTTGCTGTTTCCATCATGCTGAGCTACGAACTGTGAGGCTACAGCCTTAAGCCGCTCAGTGTAGCCTCTTTTTCTTACCTGTGGACACCTGGAGGGGGTGAGGACCTCTTCCCCGGGTCGTGTTGGTAAAGCCAGGCCCAGAACCCAGTCCTCCTGGTGCAGAGTCTTCACCGACCACCAGGAAGGCTGCCTCCACCCACACTGTCCCTCGCTAGCTTGGGTGTCTTCTGTGTGTTAGCACCTTGCCCTAAGAATGGGAGTGGGGCAGTAACACCCAGATTGCTAAAACACAGATGTTTTCTGTGGGGTTTATCTCTTTACTCTGTTCTGTCCCAGACGATTCTTGCTGCTTGGAGTACAGACGTTATAACACCTTACAAAAGGACGAAATTTCTCACTGAGTGCCTGCAAGTCCTGATATCCTCTTAGATTGAAATTACATGTTCTTACTTGGAATTTTAGACTTCCTGTCTTCTCACCAGCGCCCTTCTTTCCATAGAAGGGGTTGACTATTGTAAATCCTGGCTATTAGATTATTCTTATCATTACCACCTTCTAGAACGGCTTCTCACCTGAAATAAAATACCATCCCTAATACCAGCTTATCTCTTGTTTTGTAAAGCACACTTCTGTACTACCTGGTGATCTCACGGTTGTCTTAGGTTAACACGTTTTGGGCAGGAATCCTGCGGAAGGGGTGCTGTGCCTGCTCAGGGCACCCCACCCGGAGGCCTGTGCCCGGGGTGGGGTGGGGGTCCCAGAGCCCATGATGCAAAACTTGGCTAAACTGGTGCCCATCCGGCTCCGTGCTGTGACCGGCCGACTCGCCCCGCTCTAAGGAAGATGTCTATGGGGAGTTACTTCCTGCCTGTGAATATTCTGCTCGGCGTCAAGCTTGGACTTGCTGTTGGTGAATCTTGCCGACTCCGCCCTGAGTCCGTCACCGCGTCCCTCCAGCCCTTGTCTTCCTGTACTGACTTGGCCTGGCTCTCTCCTGTCGACGCCCCTCAGTACAGGCGTGCGGATTCTTGGCTTCCTCGTGGGCCCGTGTCCGTGCCCTCCGCGATCCACCTTGACGTTCAGATTGGTCCAGACTCGGCGGGGAGGGGCGTGGGGCGGGCCCTCTCCGCGGTCCTGCCGCGTCCCCGCCGTGCTCCCAGCCCCTCCGTGCTTCCTGCTCAGGGTGTTCATGCCCCTCGGGGCTCCCTCGGCCATCCTCGGGGCTCCCTCCTCCCACACACACCGCGGTTCCCGGTGGCGGCTGCGTCCACACCGTTAGGCTCAGCAGGCCTGTCCGTGGAGTTCCGGGCGAGCCGCGGTCCTGTCTCACTGAGCACATAGTCAGAGTACTGTGTTCAGAAGCGCTTAGGTGAGTTTTCTCCTCCTCCTGTGGTTGTGAGCGTGCGGCTTGATTCCAGACTTAAGGCCCTCCTTCCCCCATCCCCAAGCTTGTTTTGTGTTTACTTGTGACTCTGTAAGAACCACAGGGAAAACGTGAGGGTGAGTGCACAGTCGTGTCCGACTCTCTGCGATCCCACCAGGCCCCTCTGTGCTTGGAGTCCAGGCAGGAGTCCGGAGTGGGCTGCCATAGCCAGGCTCTACAAGGAAGACCACCCGAAGGCCCCTCGGCTCCCGTGGCTGCCCGCGCCGCGCCGCGCCCGCCCGCGCCGCGCCGCGCCCTGCCGTCGGAGCCCGCGTGCGCGTTGCTTCTGCCACCGCGCTCTGCCCCGGCCTTCCGGGCGTCTCCAGGTCCCTCAGTGCAAACACCCCGGCAGGGAGCGGCGCGGGCATGTCTTTCTGTGCTGTTGGAGGTGTATCTTCGGGGCAGATTCCTAGACGGGCGGCGGGTCCGCGCGTATCCAGCTGTGCCCACCCCCCAGGGGCTGTGTGCCCAGCAGGGCGGGGACCTGTCCCCACGGCCTTTTCGCCCGAGAGGCTGCTGTTCTCACTGGAAGTGGGGATTTTCCAAACATCTGTGGATTGTCCAGAAGGGTGGAAGCACTACGTGAGGAGAGCTTTGAAACCCCCTGGGGCAGGAGGCGAGAGGTGGGGAATCGTCAGAAGACCAGTTAGAGGTGACGGTTGCATGGGTGTTTACTGGAGAATGCTTCCAACATTTGTGCACATTCGAGCATTTTTATCATGAAACGTTAGAGGATAGAGCCCCGAAACACACAGGCCAGGTTGGGGTGACCGGGAGGCTTTACGAGCGCCTTCTGCAGATGCACACGCTGCTCCTGCCCTGCAGGGGTGACCACGTGCCTTCGCATCTCATGGGAGCAGGCCGGGTGGTCCACGCTGGGGCAGGGGTGGTTCCAGCCACCTCACCCCAGGGGGCCCCCAACTCACAGAGCTCCCCCCACCCCAGATCAAGATGTTCTTTGAGGAACACTTACACCTGGACGAGGAGATCCGCTACATCTTGGACGGCAGTGGGTACTTTGACGTGCGGGACCAGGAGGACCGGTGGATCCGGATCTCCATGGAGAAGGGGGACATGATCACCCTGCCTGCCGGCATCTACCACCGCTTCACGCTGGATGAGAAGGTGGGCTCGCGGCCGCTCTGCTGGAGTCTGCTCTGCGCGCCTGTCGGAGGCTCAGCCCCGGCAGCACTAGGCGAGGATGCTCCTCAGCGAGCCGCCAGGGGTTCGCGGGGGCCAGGGTCTGCAGGGGCACACAGGAGCCTGCACCCCCGGGCACGTGCCCAGGCCAACAGGAGGCGCCCCTCCAGGGGTCCCTGCTCCTTCATCATTCGAGAGCACGTCCGTTGGGCCTCAGCCGTCGGGCGCTGGAGCCGTGGACACAGCCACAGAAGCAGGAGAAGGGTGGTCTGGAGCTCCCTCCGTGGGCTTGGGACTGACCTGAGACTGAGGGGTGGTTCTGGAATAGAAAACGGGTGTGCTCGGCTTAAAGCTCAGGACTTAGAGAGGACGTGTGGGGGAAGGTCGCCCCACTCCTGGCCCCAGCGTCTCTCCCTGAAGCTGGCCGCGATCAGGTCCTCAAAAGTCTTCTTGGACTCTCCAAGAAGACTCGGCTTGGCAGGCAAGCGTGTCATGCACAGGAGGCGGCGGGCTTCGGTCGGGGCGGTGGCGTCCCCCCTTTCTGCTCGCTGGGCTTTGGGATGGTTTCCTGTCGGCACATGGAAAGCCTCTGCCTGTGTGCAGCTGCCTGCTGGCCACTCTGGGACACACTCTAGTTTACTGCGTTGAGTGGAGGCCCCTGGAGATGGGTCCGCCAGCGGTCTCCAGTTCTCTGCTGTCGTAAACGGCGCCGGGATAAAGAGCCTCACGCGTTTGCCGTCGTGGCCCGCTGAGAGCTCCCCTGTAGGATACACCCCCGAAGTGCACCCTGGCTGGACAGGGGTGCAGGTTTCTAACCGTGCGGCGGGAAGGGCCCGTGTGCAAGGCGGTGTGTTTATCGAGAGCGCGGGCCCGGCGCTGCCCCGCGGCTGCCTGAGCACGGGCCCGCCTGCCTTTCAGAGGCGCGTGTGTGGGACGGGGGCGAGCAGGGGGCGGGACCTCACGGCCGCGTAACCAGCGCCGCCGTGTCTGTGCTGCCCTAGAACTACGTGAAGGCCATGCGGCTGTTCGTGGGAGACCCCGTATGGACGCCGTACAACCGGCCTTCGGACCACCTCGAGGCCCGGACACAGTACCTGGAGTTCCTGGCGCGGACGGCCTAGCGGCCCCTCGTGATACAACACAGAGTCTGTCTCTTTCTCCTGCTTCAGAATGCATTTTAATGGATGGAGCTATGGAGCTGGTTGCACGTGCAACCAGCTGGAAATCTGGGCAGGTGATTCACTTCTCTGATTCGGGGTCAGGGGTCAGTGGCCCCCCACCAGCTCCAGCCTTCAGCTCTGACCAGTGCGTTTCATCTCCCCAAATACAGCCACTTACTGTCTGATTCTCGGGCTTTAAACAGGTGCCAGGTGCTGCCACACCTGCTCTGTGCAGACGTGTGACAGTGGGTGACAGGATGGGTGGGAGGTCACCCACTTTTCTCCCAAAACACAGGGGGGCTGGGTGGGGAGCTGGCATGTTGCGGGGCATGCGCTCGCTTAAGCCACTTTCTTCTTCAAAATAAAGCAGCTGCTGTAACACTCTGCTGGTGGTTTGGAGTCGCCTCGTATTCTGGTGCCTGTGCTTCCTTCCAGTCGCCCCGTTTGCCTCCGTCGTCTGACGAGTGTGCATGTGCACAGTTAACGTCTGTGTTTCCTGCATCGGCACTGTTCCACGTGCAGTTTCTAGGTTTAACTCGCTACAGTAAATGTCTTCTACAATCAAGCCTTTGAATTTTAACAAGAATTGGTATATCGTTTGTATTTTTAACCAACAATTTTAAGATAAAATTATATCTCATTTGTTATAATCATAGAAAAACCCTGAATTAGCCTCAGATTTGAAGGGCAGTTTGCTTTGGGTATTCTTTTAAACTGGATTAAAACTCTTCATGTTGAAATGGATATGTCATCACTTCCACATTGGTCTTGACGTGTGTCCAGGCATGGAGGGAACCCAGGCCTCGCCATGTGGGTGAACGCTGGACTTAGGGGGACAACACCGCCAACCCCCAGGGTTGGGCGCTGCCCCTCCTTCTTGCGGAGACGGGGCTCAGGGGAGGGAACCTCGGAGCAGGGGCGTCTTCTCCTGCGGGCGTCGTCAGTCTGAGAGAGGGTGGTGGTTTATGGATTTGCATTCGTCAGGGGCTCCCAGGAGCACATGCCTGGGAGCTGAGCTGTCCATGTGGACCTAGGAACACTGCTTGTTGAGTGTCTCAACATGTTACTTGACAGACGTGTCCTCCCTTTAAAGGTATGCAGCACTTGGGGGGTGGCATGTGGCTCGTGAACCTAGACAGCGTATTAAAGCCAGAGACATCACTTTCCCTGCAAAGGTCTGTCTAGTCAAAGCTATGGCTTTTCCAGTAGTCATGTGTAGATGTGAGAGTTGGACCATAAAGAAAGCTGAGCGCTGAAGAATTGATGCTTTTGAACTGTGGTGTTGAAGACTCTTAAGAGCCCTTGGACTGCAAGGGGATCAAACTAGTCCGTCCTAAAGGAAATCAGTCCTGAATATTCATTGGAAGGACTGATGCTGAAGCTGAAACTCTAGTATTTTGGCCACCTGATGCGAAGAGCTGACTCATTGAAAAAGACCCTGATGCTGGGAAAGATTGAAGGCAGGAGGAGACAGGGACGACAGAGGATGAGATGCTTGGCTGGCATCACCGACTTAACGGACGTGAGTTTGAGCAAGCTCTGGGTGATGGCGATGGACAGGGAAGCCTAGCGTGCTGCAGTCCGTGGGGTCGCAGAGTCGGACATGACTGAGCAAGTAAGCATAGCACAGTAAGGAGGTGAAGTTAAGCAGAAACGTGAGCACGGACAGTGGGGGCGCCGCACAGGCCGTGTTGTTTGCTGATTTGCACGTATTTGGGAGCAGAGCCCGATCTCACAGACCTCAGACACACCTGGGGCGGTGAGCGTCACTGTTCCTCCAGACCCGGCTCCTCGTGGGGGTGGGGTCACGGGGGGATGCTGAGGGGAGCTGCTGTGCTTAGATGCTCAGTCGTGTCCAACTCTTTGTGACCCCATGAACCGTAGCCCGCCAGGCTCTTCTGTCCATGGGGATTCTCCAGGCAAGAATACTGGAGTGGGTTGCCATGCCCTCTTCTAGGGGATCTTCTCAACCCAGGGATCGAACCATGGTCTCCCGCATTGCAGGCGGTTTCTTTACCATCTGAGCCGCCAGGGAAACCCAAGAAGACTGAAGCCTATCCCTTCTCCAGGGAATCTTCCTGACCCAAGAATCTAACTGGGGGCTCTTTCATTGCAAGCGGATTCTTCACCAGCTGAGCCACCAGGGAAACCCTCCGGAGGGGGGAGGGCACATCTCAGGAGGCTGAACCCAGGGGGTCTCCCTCCTCCCCCCGGGGACCCCAATGTTGCTTCTCCCAGGAGCTCAGGCCGAACAGGCTCTCAGGAGTGCACCTAGGTGACCCGGAGCTTCGGCCTCTGGCTTCATCCTCTGCTCCTTACAGAGGGGACTTGGTATAGCTGGGTTTGGGGGCTCGCTCCTCACACTGCTCCCTGCACAGCTCTGGTCCCCCAAAGCTGGGGCTTCCGTGTCTGCTGAGGGGGCCGGGGTCACACAGCCTTGGAAGAGGGGCACCAGGTGTCCCATCTACTGGAGGGCCAGCATGCAGGATGCGCTGCCCCCCCATCCCCCAAGGTTCTACACTCCGACTTCCTTCCAGGGCTAGACGCCGGCCTGTCTGCTAGGGCTCCCCGTCTGCCCGGGTCTGAAACGTCTGCGGCAGCCCTGGGGGTGGCGGGCTGGTTCCGGGGAGGCCCCTCCTGGCTGCGTCCTCACGTGGCGTGGGGTGGGGGTGGCAGCCCTGCCGGGTCCTCCTGAGACCACCGCCCAGGGTGGTGGGGTGGGGCCCGTGAGCCGGGGCCCCTCAGACAGGAAGCTGACTCCGCAGGTGGACAAGGGGACGCCGGACTGCTGGGCGGGGCCATCAACACTCCTGGTTAGAAACCACAGGCAGCACCGCCAGGGCTTCATCAACAGCGCTAGTGCTGCGGATGCAGGTGTGGGGGGAGTGTGTGTGTGTGTGCAGTGTGTGTGCACATGTGCAGTGTGTGCGTGTGTGTGTGCATGTGCAGGTGTGGGGGGAGTGTGTGTGCGCGTGCTCGTGTGTGAGGGGGAAGTGTGTATGTGTGCGTGCGTGTGGGGGAAGTGTATGTGTGTGCAGTGTGTGCGCGCACGCATGTGCATTATGTGTGTGTGCAGGGGAAGTGTGTGTGCAATGTGTGTGTACACGTGCAGGTGTGGGGTGTGTGTGTGTGCGTTCTCGTGTGTATGTGTGTGTGTGTGTGGGAAGTGTATGTGTGTGCAGTGTGTGTGTGCACATGTGCATTATGTGTGTGTATGTGTGTGCGCGGGGGAAGTGTGTGTGCAATGTGTGTGTACACGTGCAGGTGTGGGGTGTGTGTGTGCGTTCTCATGTGTGTGGGGGAAGTGTGTGTGCACATGTGCATTATGTGCATATGTGTGTGTGCGGGGGAAGTTTGTGTGTGTGCATGTGCAGCTGTGGGGGGAGTGTGTGTGTGAGGAGTGTGTGCACATGTGTAGTGTGCAGGGTCATGGATGGGTGGGAGGCTGGCACGTGTTTTATCTGCTTATTTATGCATCTGTTGTGGGTAATAGACTTGTCTGAGGTTCAAGTAGGGCCACGTTTGCACATAATTCCCAACGCCTGAATTGGCCATCTCCTCTTATACATGAGAGACCGGCTGAGAAGGCTTGGTCACCAGCAAGCTGGGCTGGACGTGGCCACGGGCTGGGGGTCCTTCCCACCGTGCGCAGGGCACGGCCTGTGTCTGCCTGCTGGTGAGGAGGCTGGGGGCAGGGGTGGGGGGCATGGGCGGGCACTGCTCTGACGTGTGCTGGAAAAGGAGGGGGACGCGAGGAGCCCCCTGCCCGGGGAGGGGAGGGGATGGCTTCCTCCACCCTTGCTGGGTAGGAAGCCTGCCTATGAGCGGGCATCCCCTGGCCTCTCCTCCCCCCACCGCAGGCTCTTTGTGTGATGCTCCAGGACCGCTGGCCTCGCTGTCCATGACAAGGTGGCAGAGGGTATCCCTGTCCTTAAACAGCCCCCGGGGCCCGTGCTGCTGGGACAGTCACTCTGAGCCACGAGGCTCCGCACGTGTTTTTGTCCAGTTCTGCAAACATGTATCTGCAGATGGCTTCCCTGGCGGTCCGGTGGTTGCAGATCTGCCGCCAATGCAGGTGACGAGGCTCCAACCTCTGCTCAGGGGAGACTGCACATGCAGCAGGGAAGTTACACGTGTGCCACCGCTGACACCTGTGCGCCCAGAGCCCACGCTGGGTAAAAAGGAAGCCACCACAATGAGCAGCCCCCGCGACCGCAGCTAGAGAAAGGCCACGTGCGGCAAGGAAGACCCAGTGCAGCCGAGAAATAAATGAAAAACAAAACACAAAAGAACCACATGTTGTCTACGTTTTTGTTGCTGTTCAGTTGCTCAGTCGTGTCCGACTCTTTGCGACCCCATGGACTGTAGCCCACCAGGCTCCCCTGTCCCTGGGATTCTCCAGGTGAGAACACTGGAGTGGGTTGCCATTTCCTTCAACGAGATGAACTAGCCAGCACAATTCAGTTCAGTCGCTCAGTCATGTCCGGCTCTGTGACCCCATGAACCGCAGCACGCCAGGCCTCCCTGTCCATCTCCAACTCCCGGAGTCCACCCAAACCCATGTCCATCGAGTTGGTGATGCCATCCAACCATCTCATCTTCTGTTGTCCCCTTCTCCCACCTTCAATCTTTGCCATCATCAGGGTCTTTTCCAATGAGTCAGTTCTTTTATTAGGTGGCCTAAGTATTGGAGCTTCAGCTTCAGCATCAGTCCTTCCAATAAATATTCAGGATTGATCTCCTTTAGGATGGACTGGTTTGGTCTCCTTGCAGTCCAAGGGACTCTCAAGAGTCTCCTCCAACACCACAGTTTAAAAACATCAATTCTTCGGTAGTCAGCTTTCTTTGATAGTCCAACTCTCACATCCATACATGACCACTGGAAAAACCACAGCTTTGACTATAGGGACTTTTGTCAGCTAAGTAATATCTCTGTATTTTTTAATATGCTGTCTACGTTGGTCATAGCTTTTCTTCCAAGGAGCAAGCATCTTTTAATTTCATGGCTGTAGTCACCAACTGCAGTGATTTTGGAGCCCAAGAAAATAGTCTGTTACTGTTTCCAGTATTTCCCCATCTATTTACCATAAAGTGATGGGACCAGATGCCATGATCTTTGTTTTTTTAAAGTTGAGTTCTAAGCCAGCTTTTTCACTCTCCTATTTTCATCAAAAGGCTCTTTAGGTCTTCTTCACTTTCTGCCATAAGGGTGGTGTCACCTGCATATCTGAGGTTATTAATATTTCTCCCGGCAATCTTGATTCCAGCTTGTGCTTCATCCAGCCTGGTATTTCGCATGATGTACTCTGCATATAACTTAAATAAGCAGGGTGACAATATACAGCCTTGATGTACTCCTTTCCTGGTTTGGAACCAGTCTGTTGTTCCATGTCTGGTTCTGACTGTTGCTTCTTGATCTGCATACAGATTTCTCAGGAGGCAGGTCAGGTGGTCTGGTATTCCCATCTCTTGGAAGAATTTTCCACAGTTTGTTGTGATCCACACAAAGAATTTAGCGTAGTCAATGAAGCAGATGTTTTTCTAGAACTCTTGCTTTTTTGATGATCCAACAGATGTTGGCAATTTGATCTCTGGTTCCTCTGCCTTTTCTAAATCCAGCTTGAACATGTGGAAGTTCTGGGTTCACATACTGTTGAAGTCTGGCTTGGAGAATTTTGAGCACTACTTTGCTAGTGTGTGAGATGTGTGCAACTGTGCGGTAGTTTGAACATTCTTTGGCATTGCCTTTCTTTGGGATTGGAATGAAAACACACGTTTCCGGTCCTGTGGCCACTGCTGAGTTTTCCAGATTGCTGGCATATTGAGTGCAGCACTTTCACAGCATCATCTTTCAGGATTTGAAATAGCTCAACTGGAATTCCATCACCTCCACTAGCTTTGTTCGTAGTGATGCTTTCTAAGGCCCACTTGACTTCACATTCCAGGATGTATGGCTCTAGGTGAGTGATCACACCATTGTGATTATCTGGGTCGTGAAGATCTTTTTTGTACAGTTCTTCTGTGTATTCTTGCCACCTCTTCTTAATAACTTATGCTTCTGTTAGGTCCCCACCATTTCTGTCTTTTATTGAGCCCATCCTTGCATGAAATGTTCTGTTGGTATCTCTAATTTTCTTGAAGAGACCGCTAGTCTTTCCCGTTCTATAGAATGGGAAAGATTAGCGATCAACAAAGTATATATTTCTTATTTTAAAAATACACAGTATTTCACAGTATACACATCCTAATCCTGACTCGAGGTTTGGGCACGCCCACGTTCACGTATCCCCAGACCTCTCCGGGAATCGCTGCATGCACTACTCGGCTACAGAGCCCAGCTCGCTTTCACTGCCATCTTTAAGTCACTGCTTAGTTTTTAAACGCAAAACATTTACCAGTTTTGGTGAGTTTTTTCCACTGGTTATAAAAATAAAACACACACATTATGCAGAAACGTAAGCTCAGTCATAAAAGGGAAAATAGAAATGCGTTTCAGTCCATCCTTCCTGTGACTGTAGTTTAACATCAAGCATTAGTTTTCAGGTTTTTCTATTAACATATGCATCGTGTATTATGTAAACATACATTTGAGGATTTTTCCAGGTCATTAACTTTTTAAATGATATGGTCTTGCATGAATGCCTCTCAGGAATATGTGGCGATGAATGAAAACACTATTATAAATATTTTTGACTCGGTTGCCAGTTTATTTTCCAGAAATGCTCCCATCTTTTTTCTGCTCCTACAGGCCAGGTGTGAGCATGTGTTCCCACGAGGTTCAGGACTGTCCGGCTCCCTGACTGCGAGGGGTGGGGAGCACGGCCCCAGGGGTGTGGGGGGGTCTCAGCTCAGCTGACGAGCCCCGCGGACAACAGCTTCAGCAACAGACGCTGACCTGTCATGGCCCGGGGGCTGGAGGCCGGGGCCGGGGCTGCAGGGTGGGCCCTGGGCCTCGCTCCTCACCGGGTCCTCTCCTGCGCACCCCTGGGCTCCCACCCTCGGGACTCCATCCCACCTGGTCACCTCCGTAGAGGGCCATCTCTGCAGACAGCCATGCTGGGGTTTGGGGAGATTCCGGGGGAGCAGCGTTTGGGGAGCTTCCTGGGTGTGTGATGTGCAGTTGAGGCCTGGATCTGGGACCCGGGGGGCACGGGTGTGGGTCTCCCCTGGGCTGGGACCCCCCCATCCCGGGAGGCAGGCCAACACTACTTGATGCATTTGATTTAGAAATTTAAAGGAAAACGGAGTGTAAAGCAGGTCGATCACAAGTGTCAGCCCAGAGGCTGCGGACGCTCTGGGGGAGGGGGTCCCCTCCCTGCGTGAGCCGGAGGCGCCCCTCATTCTCTCTGGAGGTGTTGGGCTGGTGCTCCTGGCGGCCTGTCCCGTCTCTCCTATTTCACAGGGTAACTGATCCGTTTCAACAACTGCATTGGGACCGTCTGCCCAGGAGATGCTGCGTTTGTGTGTTTACCACAGAAATGACTAGAAAGAGGGCTTGGCTCTGCTTTATGCAATACACGTTTATGTCAGAATCTTAAGGGAACTCTGTTTTAAATGCATGAGCAGAGCTGGGTAACTTAAAGGGCCCCTGCCAGGGTCCTTCAGTCCAGGTGCGTCAGACACTGTAAAGGCAGGAGTGACCATGTGAACGTGAGAGCAGACCCTGGCCCCCAGAGCTGAGAACAGTCACCCCTGACCTAGAGCAGGACCCCCCACTGCACACACGAGCCCGTGTCCTTGCCCCTGCCCCCCATGCTGGGAACGCGCAGGATGAAGAATGGATTCGCTCCTCCCGCACCAGACTCCTCCGAGGGGCTCAGCAGAGGCTGGAAAAGGCCCCGGGGAGCAGAGTGGAGCTGCAGCTCTGGGGCGGGGGGAGCGGGCCCTCTCCGCCCGACCTCTACGAGTCTCTAGAACGTTCCAGCTCAGGGCGAGAACCGTGTGTGTTACGTGGTCAGCTCTTCCCTGAGGCTGCTGGGAATGGCCCCGGGACACCCGGCCGCCATGCTGTGCGCGCCCCGTGTGTGCAGCCCGCCTGATGGAGAAGGCGGGGGTGGTGCGCAGGGGGCGCTAGGCCAGCTTGAGGCACTGTGTGTTGAAGCAGTCGCCCTCCGTGCTGGCCACGGCCTCCAGCAGGGCCTGCTTCTTCTGCAGGCTGCGGGATGACTCCAGCTCGTACATGGTGGTCAGGTTGAAGAGCACGCTCTCGTGCAGGTACTGCCGCGGGTCCCGCTGGGCCATGGCCTCCAGCTGCCGCAGCGAGTCCTTGAGGCGGCCCAGGTACAGCAGGCACACGGCCGCGTTGTTGTTGGCCTGGGGGGGCAGGGGACGGGGGCAGGGCTGGGCGGGGCTGTGCGGGCGGCCCAGGGCCCCCCCCAGCCTGTGAGGGTGCCCGACACCAGCAGACGCGCCACCTCTGCCCGGGGCGTCTTACCACTGCATTTGACGGGTCCACCCTCAGGATCTCCGTGAAGAACCTGTGCGCTTCCGCGAAGTTATTCTGACCAAGGTGAAGGAAAGCTCTGCAAATAAGTGACACGGGAAGGATGATCAGAAGTCGGGATGCAGGCAGGTGTGTGGCGGGGACACCGAGGGGGCAGCTCCAGGAACTGGAACCTCGCGGGGAGGGCATGGGGAATGCAGCCCGTCATAAAGCCTTATCGTAGTGGGCAGACAGATCACACCTAGACTAGTCGTGCTGATCAGTTCGAAAGCGAGAGGAGGACCAGGTCACTATGCTGTGTGACAGGAACGAATGGTGTTTCAGGTCAACGACACTCCAAACAAACTCACAGAGAAAGACTCAGCTTGTGGTTCCCGGGGGAGGAGGGCAGGGATGGGATGAAGGTGGGCCAAAGGTACAACTCCAGTTATGAATGAGTACCGGGGTGTGGTGTACAGCACCGTGAATATCATCAACCCCACTCTACGTTACGTGTGAACTTTGAGAGAGTGCATTCTGTCTTTAATTTCCCATCTGTATGAGATGATGGGTGTTCACTATTTTGTGGGGATCACTTCACAGTGTATGGAAACCAAGTCATCACTGTTCACACCTTAAACCTGCACTGTGCTGTCAGTTAATCTCAGTAAAGCTGGAAAACAGAAAAAACAATACACACCTGTTCATCAAAACCATGGTTTTGCCTTGTAGTCCATCCAATTTCTGTGCTACTCTCTCTACGTCTTGAAAGTACTTTTCAGCTGTTTTTATGTCTCCAATCTGCTTTGACAAAATGAAGTAGTCAATTCAGGCGATGAATGTTAAATCTACATCCACGCATACAGTTCCCTAATGTCAGGTGAGGATACTGAAGACATAATTACGAATCAGGCAGGGTAAAACTTTGGTAACTACTTACTAACTATCATTTTTCATTAAAAAACAAATAGCAAAAGCCATTTAGGACCGAGCAGGATGTCAACATCTGTTTGTGCGTCAGAAAGTAAGTGGTTAGATTATATAAAAAGGTAATTAAAAGGCAATATAATAAAAGTATTGTGATATATCTAGTAAGCAAATAAACAAACCCAAACTAATTATTGAAGAAAAAACATGAGATAATAAGTGGAAGAACTAATCAAGGAAAAGAAAGCATAAGTAAAACAGAATTACAGATATAAGAGGAGAAATGACCACAGGTAAAATGAAACTGAAATGATTATGAAGAGGACTGCTTTACAGAACTCTAAGCAAATACACATGAACACATGGAGCAGACGTGCGCTCTTTCTTTCCTTTCTAAATTGCCAAGCTGATCCGAGAAACAGAGAAGAAATCTCTCCCACACATGGAACACTAAAGCTGTTAATAAGTTCCCACAAACCCCATGAGTGTGGCTCAGGCCTCTTTGAGGTCAGTTATTCACATCTTCCAGCAACAGATAATTCTAGAATTATCTGAGAACAGAGAGAGAAAAAGCAAGCTACTTCTAAGAAGACAGAAAACAGATACCAAGTGCTCCTGAGAACAGTGGGCGTGCACACACACACACGCATGCACACACGCATGTGCACACAGACACATGCACACACACAGACACACGCATGCATGCACACACGCGCGCACACATGCACAACCCAGACCAACTGCAGCTGCAAAGAGCTGGGCCCTCCCCGGGAGCGCGGGGTTTTGCGGGGCGTGGCCCTGAGTGTTTCTGTGGTGCAAAGTGAACACGCTCCCACCTGCTTCTGCCCTCCATCCCGGGGAGGAGGGCGTGAGGGGCCCTGGGGGCTGGAGCGGGAGAGGAGCACATGGAGGCCAGCTCCTCACGTCAACACATTTCTACTGCAACAGAGCAATGCCTCAGTCACCGTCTCTGCACCGCCTGATGGAAATCTACGTACATTCATGTGTAGCAAGTGGCTTCCCCGTGACATCGAAGCTGGAGGCTCGACACTCAGTACAGTCAAACCACGACCAAAAAAGAACCCGCCTTCTGTCAGCAACAGAAAACTGACGTGACACCCTTCCGGCGCTCCTTGGGCCTGCAGGACTCGGCTTCAGTGCAGTCCCCGGCCCCCCAGCCCCCCGCACCTGCAGGAAGATGCGGCCGATGCAGCTCAGCACCTGGGGCTCCTGCTCTGGGTGGAACTGGATGACCGCGCGGTACGCGTCCACGGCCAGCACGTAGTCCTGCGGGAACAGGCGTGAGTCGGGAGATGCCGCTCTGTGTGCACGGCACCCAGACCTTATGAGCAGGGGGACACGGCACCTGCCAGGAGGGGTCGGACGGTGCAGCGGGCCCGGCTCTGGGGTCTGGGTGTGACCACAGTCCCGAGAGCCCTCCCGCTCCCCGGGGCCCAGCTGTGTGCTTGGCCCAGGGGTCTTTCTCCCTCCATCCGCTGAGCAGCAAGTAGCATTTCACCCGGACCAACTTTTCCTGCTTCTGTCAGCCCCCAGGGCCTGAGCTCGGATGGCAGGCGGCCCCATCCCGTCTGCGGCTCATGCTAACAGCTCACTGTCTTGACGGGCGCGGTCACAGACCACAGGCCGTGACGGCAGTTTTCTCCTGAGCCTCCGTAGAGCCCCCAAAGGCACTTCTCTTTCTTTACTTGCCTCCGTCTTCGTCTTCACGCAGACCGGGCCTGGAGGTGCTAGTTTGCTAACGGGGATGTTAGATGACCGGGGACGTCCCACAGGAAAACCAGGTGCAGACGCTCCAGCCCGGCACCTTTGAGCGAAGCGCATCCGAACACGCTGGGCCCCCTGGTGCCCACGGGGAGCCGGCCACGCCCGCTGCCCATGCCCCATGCAGTGTAAGTGCCCGTGTCCACGAGAGCGAGGGCCCTCTCCTGGGGACACAGTGGCCCCCGGCCCCCCAGGCCTGGATGGGAGCCTCAGAGCGGCTGCAGCGCTGGGCTCAGGCATGCTCCGAGGAGCCCGGCCCAGAGATGCTGTTGGCTGGAGGCCATTCAGGGAGACTGTCCTCTGCTGGGTGAAGACACGCCACCCTTTCAGGGCTGCAGTGGGCTCTCCAGGGAGAGCGCCGTCCACTCTGGTCGGGCAGCCATGGCCTGATGGTGCCGGGAGTGGCTGGCGTGCGGGGCGGCATCGACACCATGGCCTCACGCTGCTGTACGAACCGGCTCGCCCAAGGTGGCAGCTGGACGCACACGTGTGCTGAGGCTGTGACCGCAAGATGTGTCACTCCTCTTTAACGCAAGAACACCAAAGAATCATCTAGAATTTCAAATTAAACTGCATTTGGGGCAAAAGCACTTCTGAAGCACCGTATTGGTTCTGTGCTGGGTTCCGAGAGCATGGCTGGCAGGCGGAGTCAGGACGAGGGGAGCCCCTCAGTGAGCACGGGGCCGGGACCCCAAGGAGCACTGGAGCGGGAGGACTTAAGGAGCCTCGTGCAGACCCGGCACCATCACTAACCGAGTGTCAGTGCTGCACTCCGCGGCGGGTCCGTTTAGGAGAAACTAAAGCACGTGGACCCCAGGCGTGCCCCTGGCCCCTCTACTTGCAGGCCGCAAGGGGGCCCTCCCCCCCCACCCCCCTCGAGGGCCCAGGGCTCCCCGCCTCCGAGGAACGGTACCTTCATGAGCAGCAGGCAGTTGGCCATGGAGCACGTCACCCGGCCCAGGCGGGACCGCCACAGCTGCACAGAGGCTGCAGGAGAGGGGGGGTGAGTGCGCGGGGACGCGGCCAGCAGCCCAGCCGGAGGGACGGAGCCCCCATCCCAGCGGCCCTGCCCTGTCGGAGGTGGGCGGAGCCCCCGCCAGAGGCGGGCGGAGTCCCCGCCAGAGGCGGGCGGAGTCCCCCGTCAGAGGCGGGCGGAGTCCCCCGTCAGAGGCGGACAGAGCACCCTGTCAGAGGCGGACGGAGCCCCGTCAGAGGCGGGCGGAGTCCCCGCCAGAGGTGGACGGAGTCCCCCACCAGAGGCGGGCGGAGCCCCCGTCAGAGGTGGACGGAGTCCCCCACCAGAGGCGGGCGGAGCCCCCGTCAGAGGCGGACGGAGTCCCCCGTCAGAGGCGGGCGGAGTCCCCCGTCAGAGGCGGACGGAGCCCCGTCAGAGGCGGGCGGAGTCCCCGTCAGAGGCGGACGGAGTCCCCCACCAGAGGCGGGCGGAGTCCCCGTGAGAGGCGGACGGAGCCCCCGCCAGAGGCGGGCGGAGTCCCCGTCAGAGGCGGACGGAGTCCCCCGTCAGAGGCGGGCGGAGTCCCCGTCAGAGGCGGACGGAGCCCCCGCCAGAGGCGGGCGGAGTCCCCGCCAGAGGCGGACAGAGCACCCCGTCAGAGGCGGACGGAGCACCCCGTCAGAGGTGGACGGAGCACCCCGTCAGAGGTGGACGGAGCCCCCGTCAGAGGCGGACGGAGCCCCCGTCAGAGGCGGACGGAGTCCCCGTCAGAGGCGGACGGAGTCCCCCACCAGAGGCGGGCGGAGTCCCCGTCAGAGGCGGACGGAGCCCCCGCCAGAGGCGGGCGGAGTCCCCGTCAGAGGTGGACGGAGTCCCCCGTCAGAGGCGGGCGGAGTCCCCGTCAGAGGCGGACAGAGCACCCTGTCAGAGGCGGACGGAGCCCCGTCAGAGGTGGACGGAGCCCCCGTCAGAGGTGGACGGAGCCCCCGTCAGAGGTGGGCGGAGTCCCCGTCAGAGGTGGATGGAGTCCCCCACCAGAGGCGGGCAGAGCCCCCGTCAGAGGTGGACGGAGCACCCTGTCAGAGGCGGACGGAGCCCCCGTCAGAGGTGGATGGAGTCCCCCACCAGAGGCGGGCAGAGCCCCCGTCAGAGGCGGACAGAGCACCCTGTCAGAGGCGGACGGAGCCCCGTCAGAGGTGGACGGAGCACCCCGTCAGAGGTGGACGGAGCCCCCGTCAGAGGTGGATGGAGTCCCCCACCAGAGGCGGGCAGAGCCCCCGTCAGAGGCGGACAGAGCACCCTGTCAGAGGCGGACGGAGCCCCGTCAAAGGTGGACGGAGCACCCCGTCAGAGGTGGACGGAGCCCCCGTCAGAGGTGGATGGAGTCCCCCACCAGAGGCGGGCAGAGCCCCCGTCAGAGGCGGACAGAGCACCCTGTCAGAGGCGGACGGAGCCCCGTCAGAGGTGGACGGAGCACCCCGTCAGAGGTGGACGGAGCCCCCGTCAGAGGTGGACGGAGCCCCCGTCAGAGGTGGGCGGAGTCCCCGTCAGAGGTGGATGGAGTCCCCCACCAGAGGTGGGCGGAGCCCCCGTCAGAGGTGGACGGAGCACCCCATCAGAGGTGGACGGAGCCCCCGTCAGAGGTGGACGGAGTCCCCGTCAGAGGTGGATGGAGTCCCCCATCAGAGGTGGGCGGAGCCCCCGTCAGAGGTGGACGGAGCACCCCATCAGAGGTGGATGGAGCCCCCGTCAGAGGTGGGCGGAGTCCCCGTCAGAGATGGATGGAGTCCCCCACCAGAGGCGGGCAGAGCCCCCGTCAGAGGTGGACGGAGCACCCCATCAGAGGTGGACGGAGCCCCCGTCAGAGGCGGACAGAGCCCCCGTCAGAGGTGGGCAGAGCACCACGTCCCTGCGGCCCTGCCCTGGCCACGGCTTCCTGTGCCGCTCGGCCCATTCCTCGGGCTGCGCTCTCAGTGGCTGCCTGGCTTCAGGGTGGACAGATCCTGACTGGACCAGGAGGCGAGCCACTGTGTAGCAGGGCCGCCCCAGTGGGTTGTAGACGGGCAGGGCTCCCTGCTGGAGGGCTGGTGGACAGTCACACGTGGGCGTCAGCACTGGCGCCCTGGGGACAGCGGCCTGCCTGCCCAAGGCCTGGTGTCCCACCCTCTTACGTGGAACACTGGTTCCTAACCCAGCTGCCTCGCGGGCTCTGAGGGCTGGTGGGGAGCGGGGGGAGACGCGGGGTGGGAGGGTGGCGGCCGGGGCAGCTTAGGCCCCGGGAGGACCTTCCTCCTGCCGCCGGGACCAAGGGCAACTCTGGGGTAAGAACCTCCTAGAAAAGAGGTTCGTTCCGGGAGGAAAGCAGCGAGGAGACGCGCATGGGAGGGTGAGCGAGACGGACAGAAGCTGAGACCCGGAGCAGCCTGGGCCGGCCCGCGGGCGGCACTGACCTTGCCTGTTCTCCTGTGCGATGCTGCTCATGGTCCCATCCTCCGCCAGGCCCTGTTCCAGGTTGGCCAGGATCTGTGGGACATGCAAGGATGACAGGAGTGAGTCTGCTTCTGGACGCTCTTCTAAGACACCCCGGAAGCAGCAGGTTTCTCTGCCGAGGAACGTCTCCCGGGGACATGAGTCGAGTGGTCACCGCTCGGGACGCACGGAGCGGGCGGCAGACAGAGGCGGGGCCTCTGGTTTGAGGAGGGTTAGGGCTGACGACGCCCGTAGAGCGTCCAAGGACCTCAGATGTGCGGAGGGTGCGCCCCTCTGTCTTGGAAGCTTCAGGTATGGGACACATGAGGACGATTATTCACTTCTGTGGAAAAACGCCGGTCCCACTCCTCCAGGACACCCAGGTTTATGGCCCTTTGTTAATCTATCACCGAAGTTCTGAGCATCTATCACTATCATTTATCGTTTTTACTCTTTGGCTAATGACCGTGAATCACTTCTTTTGGGACTGTTTCCCCCGAAAGAAAGGAAGTTGCTGCCCTGGTGATCTGGGCAAAGGATAGATTCTCATGGAGGGCAGGATGAGGAGAAAAAACCGTTAACAACGAACACTGTTTGCTGGGGAGAAAAATAAAGGCGTGTTAACTGGAGACAGGCGGAGAGCTCACGGTTCTGTGATGACGGGCTTCAGGCACCTGCTCTGCAGAGACACCCTCGCTCCGCGGGTCACCCCAGAGGAGAAGCTCACCGCCAGCAAAGCAGCTGCTCTGGGCTCTCACTGGCCCGGGACAGGCCACTGGGCCTCCTTGGCCTGAAGGGTCTGTGCCTCATGCCAGGAGGAGGATGACGTGCCGTGAACACAAGGCCTGTCCTACCGTGACCGCTCAGGACACACCCGCAGTTTAAAACTAACAGCGGCAAAGACGAGCTAGTTGGCCCAAACCAGGTCACTCTTTTCAGCTATTTATTAGCCGTCTACTGACCAGCAACAGAAGTCGTGATGGGCCACAGGGTGGGAACAGGAACACAGAGAGGGCTGGAGGCACCGAGGAAGAGGAGGGGGCCTGGCTCTCCCGGCTCAAGGGCTGTGCAGGCTCCCGCGGGCCCGCCAGGCGCAGGCCTGGGTGCAGGTCAGAGGCCATGAGCCTCTGCCTCCCAGAACCACCCAGGCGGGCTGCACCCAGGGCGCCCAGGCTGGAAGGTCCTCGGGAAATGTGCGTGGGTGGGGGCAGGTCAGCCCCACCTGGGCTTCAGGCCAGAGGACACAGTTCCGGAAGCAGCTGCAACAGTGGCTCTGAAAAGTGAAGACGCGGCCTGGAGGTGAGGCGGGAGGACTCAGGACAAAGTGGGGTCTGGGGGACGGTCCTCAACCCCATGGGCGGGGCCGTGTGACCAGAGCTGAGGGGCTCGTCCTGGGCTGGGCAGGGTCACTCGTCCGGGTAGGTGCCGTCAGCACCACGGACAGCAGTGGGGTGGGGGGAGGCCCTGGGCCCAGGAGGCAGGCGCTTGCTTGGTGGTTGGTTCTGTCCAGGAGAAAACCACCGGCCTCTCACGGGATGCGGGTGGGGACGGTCTAAGGACTGGGTTTACGTATGAAGTGTCCAGTCCTCAGACCCCTGGGTGCCGGCCCTGATGCCTCACTAATGACCCACTGAGTCCATGGCGGGGCTTGGATTCCCCCGGAGCGTCCTGGGAGCTTCCCAGCCCTACCATCTCTTCCAGACTTCCGGAAAAGAGGCTTTTCAAAGTGAGAAGAGGCTTCCTGGAGCCGCCCCAGACCACTGAAGGAGCATTAGGCACTCCCAGGAGCCAAGCGCTGGTCTCCATCCATCATCTGACCCCACGACAGCCTGGAGGCGGCTGGGGACACTCCTCCTCCCCACGTGAGGCGCTCAAGGCCTCCAAGGACCAGTCATCCTGCTAGGAAGATTCTGCCTGGCTCCAAAGTCCCTCCAACCATGGCCCGTGGACGTGCCCAGCGGGTGTCATACTTTGAAACCACACTCTCCCCGTCAGGTCAGAGTGTGAACCTTCAACGACAAGGTGAACCAGCCCCCACTTCCTGCTGGGAACCCGGAGGACCACCCAGGAGCTCCGGAAGTGTCCACCAAGAGGCTGGAGCCTGGAGGGGCTCGGCAGGCACAAGTAACTCCACTTTACGAATCTGTCAAACGTCGCTGCCCCTGACTGCTCACATTCACAGCTCTGAAAGCGCCCCCCGCACCCCCCCGCTGCCATGAGCACTGCACCTCAGCTACCCTGCAGGGGGTGGGACGGGGGCTGGATCCGGGGGAACCCGAGCCCCACCTCTCTGCCCCATCACTCAGTGGAGCAGTCTGATCTGCTGATGCAGCCCGATGCCTGCCACATCACAGCTGCTTTACAACTGAGAACAACTCGGGATGTCCTGCTGAACCTCATCTGCCTTCAGAGCCAGAATTATGAATGACAGCTGTCACAACAGTCGCCATGACGCAGTGTAATTTGCTTTGATGCTGGAACATTTTCAGCTGTTCTCTCTTTAAATCTGGCTCCAGCACCTGTCAGACATGAAGCAGGTGCTTGGAGCCTCTGCAGGATGCGCAAGCGGCCGGCAGCCCAAGCACACGTTCACGGGTGTCAGTTCTACATGAGAGGAAACGCTTCTGCTTTTCATTTACTGACAGCACTAGGAAGAAGGGTTTCAGGCCACAAGCTTGGCCAAAATGCACCCACCATCCCCCAGAACAGCTTCAGCAAGAAGCGTGTAGCCTGGCCACAAGGAACTGGGCCACCTGCCTTCCTGGACGGGGATGCAGAGATGGGGGTGGGAACAGGGAGGTGTGAGGGCGGGAGGAGGGGGCAGGCGGCCCAGCCGGAGCGGGGCTTACCTTGCTGCAGACGGCCTTCACCCTGTGGAGCCGGTCCAGGGCCTCCTGGGGGTTCCCCAGGTACTGCTGGAGCTCGGCGTGCAGGATCCGCATGGAAAAGGGGACCATGGAGCCTGGAAGCAGAGCCAAAGCAGCGTCAGTCTGTCTGCCATCACCGAGCACAGCCGGGAGTCAGCAGATGCTCCCGAAGCAGGGGGAACAGACCCTTCCTTTCTTGGCGAAGTACACAGTGATGCCGGTTCTCAAACCTGTCCTGGTTCTCTCGGTAAAGCGTGTGTTCCAGACGATGGCCACAGGAAGGCTGGCCGTCATCCCCTGCCCACAGCTATGCCCCAGTCGTGTGGAGGCCACCGCCTGCTCCAGAACAGGACACTCAAGGACCCTCTGTGAAGAGGCCAATATCTACTTAAGAAATTAAATCAATAAGGAATAACTTTCTGAAGGAGAAGGCACCGGGTGCAGACGGTATCACTGGTGAGCTCTACAGAACATTAAGGAAGAAGAGGTGCCAATTCTCTATAGTTTCTTCTGGAAAATAGAAGTGGAGGGGATCCTTCCTAATTTGTCCTATGAGGCCAGCATTAGCCACGTATCAAAACCAGACAGTATCACAAGAAACAAAAACTACAGATCAACATGGCTGATGGACACAGATACAATAATCCTCGGAAAAATCAGCAAGTCAAATCCAACTGAATTAAATCTACCAAAAAATTAGCAAGTCAAAACTAACAGTGTATAAGAGAAATCATCCACCATGACCAAGTGGGACTCATTCCAGGTGTGCAAGGCTGGTTCAACGTTCAAAAATCCATGTCACCCATCATGTCAAACAAGCTAAACGAGAAACATCACACGATGAATCCAGGGGAACAGAAAAAGCATTTGACAAAATGTGACATCCATTCATGATGAAAACTCTCAGCAAATGAAGAGCAAAGGGAAACTTCCCCAGTTTGATAAAGAACACCTATGAAAACCTACAGCCAGGGACCTGATTAACGGTGAGAAACCACGCGCTTGTCCTCTAAGATCCTGAGTAACGCAGGGAAGTCCCCTTTTCGCCGCTCGTACTGAAGTGGTACCGGAAGTCCCAGCTAATGCAGGCAGAACAGGGAAGCTGAGACCGTGCGTGCAGCGCTGTCTGCTCTGGGCCCTCGGGCTGTCCTCTCTTCTCTCCACGCGTCGTCTTCTATGGACTCGAGCCTCCTACCGGAGCCCACCCGCCCTGGACCAGACCCCTGCAGCCCCAGGAGGTGGACAGCGGTGGCCCTCGTGTGCGCCCGTGACCTGCGTCTGGAGGTGGGGCTCTACTCAGACCAGAGTAGGAAAGGCGGGCAAGGGAGGGCCTGCCTGGTGTCCCGTAACCACGCTACCCTTGCCCCTGACTTTCCTGGAGGGCCCCGAGACAGCCAGGTTCTGGGGGGCGTCAGCTTCCCCCTTCTCGCCTGGCACCGCTGGGCTGGTGCAGCTTACTCGTCTCAAAGGACAGAACCCAGGAGGGAAGCAGACACTCGGCCTCAAGATACAGAGATAAAAAATGCCCCTCCCTAGAAAAACATACGGCTCAGAGTCAGGACAAGAAAAGGGGCAGCAGGAGATAGACCGCCTGTCACTTCTGGCCTGAACAGGTTAGCTGGAGAGCCACGTACTCAGCAGGTCTTCGTGCCAAGGACAAGCGCAGGCGCCGGACGTACCGTGAAGGGACGCGGCCATGGTCCCCAAGCAAACGCTGCAGGCTCATCAATAAAACGGCAAACACTGCTTTGACCTAAGTCAGGCCTTTCTTTCTTTTGTTCGTTCGTCTTAAAGAAATACAAACAAAAATACCTAAGCTGGCTCTCAGTCCGGCAAACCCAGCCTCGCTGTGTGAAGAGTCACCGAAATCGGTGAAACCCTTCACGCCAGCGGAGTCCGGCAACACGACCGCGCGGCTCCACGCCAGCCAGGGGCCTGTCTCCCCAGCAGGGAGCGCGCGCCTTGAAACAGAGCGCATGTCAGAATCTGGAAGGAGACTGGCTTCCCGGAAGGTCTCCTGCGTGGCCATGACCTGCCGACTTCTAGGCTGGTATAAATACTGTGGGGGCGCTCCCGTGAATCACTTAGGAAACGCTAAGTGCAAATGCTCCTACACCGCTCATGCTCTGGAGTCCCTGGCAGGACCGCAGGCCCACTTGGCCGCCAGCGCCAGAGCAGGTGCCCCAGGAATCACAGCCCGTGCTGGGCAATGGGCCTGGAAGGCGAAGCAAGATGGGGGACGTCAGCCTGACCCCAGTGGGCTGCCTCCCTCAGCAGGCGCAAGACTTCCTGGTGTGGACGGGCTGGGCCTCTGGCCTCCCACTGGCCCCGTGTGCTGGGCAGGCGGCGCCTCCCCTCCAGCGCTCCAGCCACGTGCACAGGACAGGGAGGTGGACACGGCCAGGCTGCTGTGAGGTCCAAGGGGCAGACGCGATGGCATGGTGCCTGCCGGACACCCAGCAGAGCACAGACTCCGCGGTCAGCAGGCCCAGCTTGCCCCCGCAAAGCTGGGCAGGGCCTCTCTCTGTCCAGGCGGCAGGGCCCGCTGCCTGACCGCTGCTCTGGGCTCGCTTCCCTGGACGCTCCCTGGTCTCCCTGGCGCCCCAGCTTTCTGTGCTCCGATGTGGGGACACAGGTCGGGGACATTTGTGCCAGGCTGACGGCACAGTATCTCTCACCCATGCTGGTGCTGGAAACAAAGAGCCAGCCTGAGCAAAAGGCCAAACAACCCTCAACAAACACACCCCGACTTCAAGCTACGCTGGAAACAGCACCAGCCCGAGCGAGTCCTAGATGACTCATTACTAAGGGGTCATTCAGTGCTGCCCCCACGCCCTGCAGCAGACGGGGAGTTCAGAACGGGCCAGGCGCCCCGGCAGCGTCTCGGGCGCTGTGTCTGATGCAGGCAGTGGGCATGCACGCATCTCCCCGCTTCTCGCGTCTGGAGGAGGGTAGAGGCGGCTTCGCCCAGGTGTCCTGATGGAGACGGAGCCCGACCGAAGAGGCCGTATCTCTGACCGCCTGTTCTAGGAAAAGACTGCAAGACGCCAGAGTTCACAGGAAGGGTTAGCCACGTGAAAGGTGGCCCAGACCAGCCCCCTCAGACTGAGGAAGATACGCCTGACTTGTGCAACTCAGAAGAGTTCTGGCACAGAGGAAGGCGAGCTGGAGCCCAACCTGCCCAGAGGACGGCCACTCCGGGGGGCGGGTCCGTCTTCTCACGGAAAACAAAGGGGCCACCTGGCACGTGCTGAGCTGTTAACTGCGCCGCCGCGTGAGCTCACCTGCTGACAGCGTCTGCATCCAGCCTGGGAACTAGACGTGAGCTGCGTGATTTTGGAGGGAGCGTAGGCAAGGACTAGAGAGCAGCGGCAGCTGACCTTTGCAGACACGGGCGGGAGGGGTGACGGGGCACTCGGGCCGGCAGAGCCGGGTGTGGGGACACGCAGGCCCCGGGGAGGCGCGCTCTGCTCACGGCCCCCAGACGGGGCTTGTACACCGCGGCCGAGCACAGCGCAGACGCGAGCGGCCTCTGACGCCACCTCCAGCCCCGAGGTGCAGGGGTGCACCCACAGCAAGGAGGAGAAGCCACGATCCAGGGGGAGGACGCGGACCAGGGCTGAGGAGGGTGTCACAGGAAGCGCCCCCCAGGCTCCCAGCGGGCGCGTGGGCCCCGGCCCAGTCCACTCAGGCCTGGGTCTATTCAGTGACCCGCATCACTGTTTCAGGAGAACAAGGAGAGAATCCAAACAACCGACTGAAAGGCAGCCTAAGTGTGGAAACCACACTCCCTTGTAAGGAACTCCATGAAATTGCTAGAAGTATCAGCGAAATACAGAAGACCACAAGAGTCTTCCTTTCTTGGATGAAAATGAAAAAGGGAAATTTCACGATACTAGCTCATGATTCATTACGACTTGTTATGAATACTCTGAATGGGTAAAAACTGTGCCCAATATTTAAATAAAACATATTAAAGCTCATTCATAAAAGTTATTTCTTTATATCATTATAGCTTCCTTTTTACAGCACAGTTTAATGACCTGCTTTGCTTATGTAGTGCAAGCTAAAATGAAAAAAATGAATCAAAATCCCACATTTATGCTTGTTATACCACAAAAGGGAAAGAAAAATTGGTAAACATTGAGCATACCATTATGGATGCATGTTAGCACACTTTAGCTGAAATGTATGTATGATTTATGTCTATTTCATAACTTAAATTAGCCGCTTAATGGAGCAGGGCGACCAGCTCCTCTTTATCCCTAAGAACACACACTGCAGTTCCAGCGGGGATGGGGGCTTGCTGAGTCTGCACTGACATCCCGGGAGCTGGGGCAGGGCGGGCGACGCACAGCCCCACGCCTGGGCCTGAGGGCCTGGGTTCTCACCGCATGGGAAGCTGGGCGTCACCCCTGAGAACCTCTGTCCCTGAGGAGAGGGCGCAGGGCCGCGGTGCCCAAAGGGCCTGCCCAGCAGCCCTGCCCGGCGTCGTCGGCCAGGACCCTGGGGCTGCTGAGCGCTTGGCGTGGTCAGGGTTGGACGCTTTCACTGGCCACCCTGGAAATACCTGCTTTTCCATCTCCGACCATTGTTTTTAATAAAAACACGTTTACTTATTTAGCTGTGCCAAGTCTTAGCTGCGGCATGTGGGACCCAGCTCCCTAACCAGGGACTGACCTGTGTGCCCTGTCCTGGCAGCCTGGAGTCTCAGACACTGGGCCACAAGTGAAGCCCCGCTCGTCTCATTCCTAACCTGCAGGGACCCAGGGGCACTGCGGCCGGGGCCGGGGGCAGCGCGCAGGCCAGGCGGGGGCTGACCTGGCCAGAGCTGGGACACGGTGCCGAGAAACCGTTTTTCCTTTTCCTACGCTGGAGGGAAACAGCTGCTCCTTGTCAGAAGCACAGGAGAGCCCTCTCTTGATCATCAAAGCTTTCAGGTAGAATTTTTTGAACGGAAATACCCCAAACCTCCCATGTAATGTGCCCGTTACCTCTCCACAGAGCGTCTCTCCCTGTAAGAAGAGGCGACAGAGCCTGATCCTCACGGGGGCAGAGTCTGCCCACTGTCTTTCTGGGAGGGACAGACCGTGAAGGGTTGGAAATGCGGACGAAAAAGCTCTAGCCCTCACTTCCCAGTGGGGACGTGGCCCCCGACGGCCAGGGGACGCTGGGCCCCTGGATGCGCACGGAGCTCCGTGCATGACGCGCCTTATGGAGCAGAGCGGGCTATGGCCTGCGCCCCAGGCTGCGGGGCTGCCTGTGTGGGTGGGGGGTGTCACATAGAGACCAGGTGGGGGTTCCCTGTGAGAGTGTGGGGGGGTCACAGAGAAGAGGGGGGCTCCCTGGTGTGGATGTGGGGGGTCAGAGAGGAGGTGGGGGCTCCCTGGGGCGAGTGTGGGGGGGTCACAGAGAGAGGAGGTGGGGGCTCCCTGGGGTGAGTGTGGGGGGCTCAGAGAGAGGAGGTGGGGGCTCCCTGGGGCGAGTGTGGGGGCTCACAGAGAGAGGAGGTGGTGCCCTGCCCGCCCCGCGCAGACACTGTCAGACCCACTGGAGGAATCATGGGCGAACAAAGCCGGGTGGGTGCGGCTCCCACCCACCCCTAATGCCCAGGACCGTCCCCTCCGCCTGGGGCCGCACCCCTGAATGCTGCTCACCTGACTTTGGTCCCTCCCCCTGGTCTTCTGGAGACCTGCTGGACTTGGGGGGCCACGGGGCGCAGGCCGAGTCACACATGGGGGTGGGCCTGCTGCCCCTCCTGAGTGCACGCCGCCCAGCAGGCTGGCTTGCTCCCTCGGAGCCACCCCCATCAGGGCGACCGCCGGACATCCCGCTCCGGGCTTCAAAGCCTGCCTCCCCTGGTCCTCCACGAGCTGACTGCTGCCCTGCTCCGGGTTTGAAAGCCTGCCTCCCCTCCTCCTCCACAAGGGCGAAGTTCCCGCAGTCAGAAGGGAGAGACAGAATTTTAATGCCAGGGAGGCTACAGGCGTCAAAGTCACCTGTGCTGAAAACCCTCCTCCAAGTCTGGGGAAACTCGGGGCAACACAGCCCGGCTCCCGTCAGCTGCTACATGAGAGAGCCGGTGATGAAGGAGAAAGCGCTGAGAACTAGGGCAGCGCAGCCCCAGCCTCCCCCGCACCCCCACAGAGACGGGGCTGAGCTGCAGGGAAACGCAGCACAGGGCAGAAGCTGAGCCTCGGCGAGCGGGGCCCCGCGGGCGCCTTACCCCTGCGCCCCGGGTACACGTGCGGGTAGTACTCATAGTAGAGGTCCGGCTGGTCCAGGCTGCCGAACGGCTCCAGCTCCACCTCGGCGTTCTGGAACAGGCCCAGCTTCACCAGCAGCGCCAGCCGCACAAACCAGAGCTGCAAGCACAGAACACGAGGCGCACAACGGTGACCCGCGCCGAGTGGGCGCAGAGGTTCCCACTCCCTGCTGGCTGCTTTAAAAACGCAGGTGCCTCTCTAAATTTTCACTTCACTTTTATTTAGGCTGTGCTGCAGGGCTTGTGGGACCACTGGACCAGGGAAGCCCTCGAGGCCCATTAACTTGATATCAGAGCTTGATTTCAAATAGATTTAAACAAGCGCTAAACTAACACTCCCTGGGGGCTCAGCTGGTAAAGAATCCGCCTGAAATGTGGGAGACCTGGGTTCGATCTCTGGGTCGGGAAGATCCCCTGGAGAAGCGAAAGGCTGCCCACTCCAGTATTCTGGCCTGGAGAATTCCATGGACTGTACAGTTCATGGGGTCGCAAAGAGTCAGACACGACTGAGCAACTTTCACTCACTTCACAAATTAACGCTCTTTCTTAGCAATTTGCATAACTATAAGTTTATAAAAATGGATATAAAAAGAGGCGCTCCCTCCCTGAAGGAGAGCAGAGTCCAGCTGGGGTTGGGGAGGTGGTGGAAGGGGAGGCAGTTGGACCGAGTGGGGGAGGGAGGCGGGGGCACTGGTGAAGGACCTGGACTCTCCACCGGGAGGCAGGGACCACGATGGGAGCAGGGGGCGGGGCACAGCCAGCTTCATGCAGCCGGAATGCAGGGTCCCTTCCGGAAAACGACGGCCGCCAAGGGAGAGGGCAGGACCAGAGACACTGGCAACTGCTGGGGCCGCGGGAGTGACCCGAGTCAGCCTTGTCCCGCTGATGGGAGAAACGAGGTTCAAAGAGACCACGCCACAAGGGACGGACCGAGAGGCTAGGCCCGGGGTCGGGGAGGTGGGGGGAGGCCGCCCAGGGCGGGGGGCAGGCGGCAGGACTCAGCAGTGCTGTCAGAGCAGCCGGGGAGAGAGCTGGGCTGAGTCCACGGCAGCTGAAGCCGCGTCCGCTGAGGACTGCCCTGGCCGCGGGTGTGGTCAGGGAGCACAGTGCGGATGCTACGCCCCGGGGCCTCGGAGCCCCTTCCCTCACCAGCTGTTAAGGGACCCAGAGAACCTGGGGGATGGTCTGGCTGGGGAGGGGGTTCCAGGGGACGTCAGCATGAGAGACTGCGTCTGGGGCGGCGGGCTTCGAGGACTTGGGCAGCTGCCCCCTCTCCTTGGAGAGCTTTCCTGCCATTCAGAGCCCCACTACCCACACCTGAACGACTGAAGCCTTCGCTGTCCCCAGGTGACGGTGGCCCGGGGAGGACGCGGTCATACCTGCAGGGAGTCCGCCGTGTGGCTAGTCGGCAGCCCACTCTTGCCGTATCCTTGGCCATGGGCCGTGAGCAGCCGCCCGCACAGGTCCACCGCAGCCCGCCAGTTCTTGCAGCTCTGTAAGACACGGACGGTCACCAGAGGGCCACCCCAGGGACAGCCACCCCAGGGCCGGCCACCCCAGGGCCGGCCACCACGGGGTTGGTCATCCCAGGGATGGCCACCTTGGGGACGGTCACTACGGGCTTGGTGCTCCGACGCGCAGGCCTCACAGGCACCAACCACAGACACCCTTCAAGATGAGCCAAAGATAAACCCTTAAAATGTAACCACTGATAGAATCCCAGGAGCAAAACTCTTGGGCTTTCTCTGCCCCCAAACCCATCAGGCTGCTTCCTGTTTAGCAAGATAACTCCATCTCATGATTTTTTGAAAATTAAACCACAGTCAACATTTAATTTCAAGCTGTGCTGGATACGTTTATTTGTATCTAAGGTCTGCATGTGACGGTGAGTGGTTTTAAAAATGTTTAACAGAATTCTCTGCTGCCAACACGAAACACGATCAGTGAGCTGCGCTGACACATTGCGATCCAGGCCGTGTGTCCACACGCAGCTCCCTGGCAGGCCTGGACCCGCAGAAGCCCAGCTGAGGCGGTGCAGGGGCGCAAGGACTTGGCCTCAGCTGCTCCTCGCTGCCCTGAGGGACGCAGGAAGGAGGGCCACCAGGCCGACGGGAGGAGGAACAACACCAGAGGGACCGTCTGCCCCTGAAGAAGCTGAAGAGGATGCTCACTGTGCGGTCCCCAAGGACAGGCACTGCCCGCTGCCCTCAGCGCACAGACCAGGCCTCGGGGCCGCCTGCGTGCCGGAGCGGGTGAACACACTCTGTTAACCTCACGTCCAGAGAGGGAGCCGAACGTTAGCCCGTGGTGTTCTTTTAAAGGATACTCTGGGCATTCTGTGCTTGGAAAGTGCTTCTGGAACAAGAAGCTGAGGGCGCCAGGAGAGTGAGCCCAGCCTCTGGTATCCTCAGCCAGAACTCACATTTCTTCTTAACGATGCAGCCAGCACCAGCTCCTTGAGGAGGAACCCCCTTTCCTCGTCTTCGTGTGTGTGTGTGTGTGTCTGTGTCTCTGTGCACATGTGTCTGAGTGTGTGTACGTCTGTGTATTTGTGTGTGTCTGTGCATGCACACACACCCAGCATACCTAGTGCAGCTGGATCAGGAGGCATGCTGGTGCGGCCTTACTCCAAGCTCTGTGGTGATCGGGCCATGTGCCCTAATGCACCCCACCTGACGCCCGGCCCTAGGCGCCCCGGGCTCCTCAGGGCTCCTCCTGACTCGACAATCAAGGCGTTAGTGCCGAGTGACAGTCCACCACCGTGGGAGTCACCGCCACCCATTCACCTGCTGCAAGGCTCCTTGTGTGGGTGAGTGCTAGGTCGCTTCCCTCGTGTCTGACTCTGTGACCCCCGGACTGCAGCCCACCAGGAGCCCACCAGGCTCCTCTGTCCATGGGATTCTCTAGGCAAGAACACTGCAGTGCGTTGCCATTTCCTCCTCCAGGGGATCTTCCCCACCCAGAGATCGAACCTGCGTTTCTTGTGTCTCCTGCCGTGGCAGGTGGGTTCTTTACCACTAGAGCCACCGAAAGGCACCTGGACTGCTTCCAATTTTTGGCCACAGCGAATCAGGGTGCTGTGCGTGGAACCTGTGAGTACAGGGCCAAGGTTGGGGGTGGTGGCGACTTATTTAGTCATCAGCTAAGAAGAAACTAACAGGAATATTAACACGTTTGCTTATTATCTTCAGTTAGGGAAGAAGCCACTTTTTAAAAGACTTACATTTACTTAAAAAAATGAGTATTACGATAGCAGGTTTTTGCTTCATTTTTAATAATGGTCTGGTTTGAAATATAGAAAACACATCTTAATATAAAAATCATAGCAAGAAAAAAAATCATAGCAAGAGCTGAAAGCTTTTCACATGGTACATTTTACCATTTTTAATCATTTATTCAGCTCAGTCGCTCAGTCATGTCCAACTCTTTGCTACCCCATGGACTGCAACATGCCAGGCTTCCCTGTCCGTCACCAACTCCCGGAGCTTGCTCAAACTACATCCATAGAGTCAGTGATGCCATCCAACCATCTCATCCTTTGTCGTCCCCTTCTCCTCCTACCTTCAATCCTTCCCAGTATCAGGTGGTCAAAGTACTGGAGTTTCAGCTTCTGCATCAGTCCTTCCAATGAATATTCAGGACTGATTTCCCTTATGATAGACTAGCTGGATCTCCTTGCAGTCCAAGGGACTCTAAGGAGTCTTCTCCAACACCACAGTTCAAAAGCATCAGTTCTTCGGCACTCAGCTCTCTTTATGGTCCAACTCTCACATCCATACATGACTACTGGAAAAATCATAGCTTTGACTAGACGGACCTTTGTTGGCAAAGTAATGTCTCTGCTTTTTAATATACTGTCTAGGCTGGTCATAGCTTTTCTTCCAAGGAGCAAGTGTCTTTTAATTTCATGGCTGCAGTCATGGTCTGCAGTGATTTTGGAGCCCAAGACAATAAAGTCTGTCACTATTTCCATTGTTTCCCCATCTATTTGCCATGAAGTGATGGGACCAGTTAATATGATCTTAAGTTTTCTGAATGTTGAGTTTTAAGCCAACTTTTTCACTCTCCTCTTTCACTTTCATCAAGAGGCTCTTTAGTTCTTCACTTTCTGCCATAAGGGTGGTGTCATCTGCATATCTGAGGTTATTGATATTTCCCCTGGCAATCTTGATTCCAGCTTGTGCTTCCTCCAGCCCAGTGTTTCTCATGATATACTCTGCATATAAGTTAAATAAGCAGGGTGACAATATACAGCCTTGACATACTCCTTTCCCGATTTGGAACCAGTCTGTTGTTCCACGTCTAGTTCTAACTGTTGCTTCTTGACCTGCACAGAGATTTCTCAGGAGGCAGGTCAGGTGGTCTGGTATTCCGGTCTCTTGAAGAATTTTTCACAGTTTGTTGTGATCCACACAGTCAAAGGCTTTAGTGTAGTCAATGAAGCAGAAGTAGATGTTTTTATGGAACCCTCTTGCTTTTTCAATGATCCAACCAATGTTGTCAATTTGATCTCTGATTCCTCTGCCTTTTCTAAATCCAGCTTGAGCATCTGGAAGTTCACGATTCATGTACTATTGAAGCCTGGCTTAGAAAATTTTGAGCATTAGTTTGCTACCCTGTGAGGTGAGTGCAATTGTGCGGTAGTTTGAGCATTCTTTGGCATTGCCTGTCTTTGGGATTGGAATGAAAACTGACCTTTCCCAGTCCTGTGGCCACTGCTGAGTTCCACACCGCCTGCGTCTTGATGGTAACGATGCATTTCTCCCGAGGGTCTCCTGCTCCTTCCACCTCACTGTCTTCCAACCCCAGTTCCCCTTCCTGCCCGGTGGCCCACCTCCACTTTCATTCTGAGATGTCAGAAACGTTTGGTGAAAAAACTGTTTTTCAAAGCTAGAATTTAAATATACCATTGTAATCTTTAAGCACTGTGAAGAAAACCTTATGAAAATCTCTTCATTACTGTATATGACATGCAGAACTCTGATATCAAAGGTAGTTATATATGAGAAAAAAGATCTAAATTTCAAAACATCATTTTTTTAAAACTAGGAAATAAGATAGAGGCTCTGTTTGAGAAACTGAACATAGCTGAACATTCCCCAACTTCCAGAAGAGGAGAAAACCAGTCCAATAAGAATCACTCAAGTAACTAACAGTATGTACATAACTGTTCCTGCTGGCGACTCAAAGGCAATCATCAGTGGTACATGTGACACCAGGGACGTGGTTAAAACGTCCCTTTCCATGGGCGGCGACATTCATTTCCCCGTAAATGGCAATCTTGGAACAGTGACATTACTTAGGACAATGTGCTGAGAAACTTTCCTAGTCTTAAAGATGAGTGTGATTGTTTTAGGACGTAATTAAAATACTAGGGCTAGGTAATGGGCTTTCCTGAGTACACTTCCCACCTTAAACAGGTCTCCTTGCTAGCACTGTTAATATAATTTTTACTGGCCTCAAATATTTTCAATGTAGGAGAAAAAATTAAACCAAACCGCGTATACTTGACACCAAGAATAATAAAAAGACGTAACAGACTGGCCTGAGGATTAATGACCACGTCTGTGCGTGGCTTTGTGTATCCCCTCCGAGCTCAGTTACAAGTCACGCTTCAAATACAGCCCCCTGCTTGTGACGCTGCCGCGCGGCAGGTTTTCAAGACCATGGAAGTGGAATGACGGCGGCCGCCCCCCAAGGCAGAGGGTCATTCCACCAGTCGCCCACACGTGCGACTCCATGGACGCGTGCCGGTGCAGACAGACTCACAGACACTCACAGACACGCTCTCCTCTCTCCCTTTTAAAAACTGAGTATCTCCTCACCTTTCCTTCCCAAAGCTTCTCATTGATGGGAAGAATTCTAGAATCACTTCAATGAAAGAAACCCAATGAAACATGTGATCTACATTTACTAAAGAAAACCACTAAACTTCAGTGTGAAAATGTCAGCAACCCACCTAAGCAAGTGTTCACTTGCACCTTTGTAGCCTATGAGAGACGCTGTGGGGCAGACGGTTTCCAGCGCCGCCCGCCCAGGTCAGGGTGCCTGCGGTCAGTCTCCCCTTGTGCTTTGTGACCGCGGCTCAGCCCCGGCGTCTGCACTCACTCTTGTTAACGAACAAAGAAAGGCTTTTGTGTGCGCTTCTGGGGAGTCTGCTAATTTAGTAATAAGCCTTCTACTGCAAGTGCAGAAAACAGAGTTCTTTCAGAAAGTCAACGTATGATCACTTCACTCTAGTTATTTTGATGAAGCATATTTAATCAAAGTATATACCGTCTCAAATCATTCACATGTTATATGTGATGCTCTCCGTTGATTAGGAGTGGTTATTGGATCCAACGCAACTCCATTTCTGTGCAAGGGCTGAGCATAAGACGCTCAAAGGGACTGGCCCTTGGGAAAATATTACAAAGGGAGGAAGAACTTACACGGAACATCAAATGCACCATGACTTACGATGAGCTGCTTCAGTCCAACCAAAGACTGTTCCACGGAGCTGGCGGTCAGCACCTGTCTCTTTGCTGCTGCTTTTTCACCCAGGAAGCGAAGCATTAAGTCCTTAACTGCATCTCCCTGGAAAGAATATAAGAGAAATATGTCAGGACAATAGGATGTTAATTAAACTCAGTTAACCGAAACTCACAGCTAACCAAAATTTCTTTCTTCTCCCACTGGTGTATGGAGGCTAAAATGCGGTTATGGTACAGCTGAGCTGCAACCAGCCAGAAGCTCTAGCACCCCGATCGCTGGTAAGATGCGGAGTTCAGAGCGGCTGTTTCTCCCGGGGAGGAGGTGGTAAGTCAGCAGTGGCTGTGCTGCGCTGGAGGGGGCCGGGGCTCGAGGGGCTCGAGGGGTGCGAGGCGATGCCGCCCCTGGGAGGAGCATGGTGCACGACGGGGCCCAGGCTGGGCGGGCAGGCCTGAGCCCTCCGCCCACAGCCCACCCCGCAGGCCCCTGGCCCGGGCCTCCGGGGGTCCCCAGGGCTCAGCCACAGCAGTGAACGGCGGCCCGGGCATGGCCTCCCCCAGGGGCCGTGTCACCCCAGCCCAAGGAGGGCCGTCTGTCGGGGGCAGCTGCGCCAGACTCTGCATAGGGGGCGCCTGGCCCAGCCCCGGGTTAGCCCCGCCTGCGCCCGGTGAGGCCAGGAGGGAGTGGCCATCTGTGGCCCAGTGCCCGGGGAGGGGTGGGGACAGACCGCCGACACAGGGTGACGGAGGGCAGCCCGCAGCTTGTGCCTGCCCAGGGCCGCCCGGCTCCTTCCTGCCATGCCGGGGAAGCAGGCGCGCGGTGCCGCAGAGGCAAGCCTCCTCTCCCGTGACTGCCAGCACGGTCGGCGTGGGCTGGGCATGCAGCAAGGCTGCCTCCTGCTGCTGAAGGAGGGCAGGGCACAGCCTGGCAGCAGGGGTCCCGGGCCCTGAGCCTGGAGCTCAGAGGCCACGCTGCACCTCCTCCTCACGCGGGGGCAAAGGCCTGGAAGCAGCAGGGTTAGTTTCTGCTTCCAGAGAATAAGGGGAAATAGTTCAAGTGCCAGGCCCCGCAAGGGGCTAACTGATCCAGGAGGATAATCAGAGGGCGGAACAAGGAGAGCGCGGGCAGCTGGCCCCACAAAGCTCTGCACACAGGCGTCTCCGGGCAGACAAAGAGCTGTATCCGAGCAGAGGGCCTGCGAACCAGGGAAAGGCGAACTCACCCTTAAAGCCGCGGAGCAGGGAGGAGCAGTCTGAGTCCTCTGACCTTGCAGCACCCTCGGCAGTGAGCCCACACTGCTGACGCCTCCTGCCCTCTCGATTCTGCCAGTTAATTAGCACAGGATGCTCGAGACAGGAGCACCGTGGGGCTGACCAGCACTCACCCTGAAAGCCCACAGACACGACAAAACGTCCTGACACGGACTGGTTCCTGCCGCGTCGCTCGGCCGGGGCGGTTCTGGTACGGGGGTCCTGGTGCCTTGGCTGCAGACCCTACACGGTCACCGGAGTGAGGGGAGTAGCCTCCTCCCTGGGATGTCTAGAGAGCTATCTCCCTGCACCTGGGGGGGAACCACCTAGAACCCCACAGACCCCTTCCACTCAGCAATCCCTCGGTGCGCCCAGGGCAGGGCTGGGGCAGACCGCGCGAGTCGGAGTCTGCGGCGGGCCCTCCGCGTGCAGGGGACGGGGCTGCTCCCCCCCTGCAGTGTGCAGACGGCTTCAGCGGCGCCTTCGAAGTTTTAGTGGATGACGTCCACGTGAAACACAGCGGCTTGAGTCACGGGCACGGCCTGTGAGCACTACCGTCAGGGATGCCTGGTCACAGGCAGCGGGGCTGGAAGGACAGCACCCAGGCATGACCAGGAAAGGGGCCCGGCGCCTGCCTGCTTCATTGTGGGACTTCCGTCACATCCACACTGTGGGGGCCAGGGGCGGGATCAGGGAGCAGAATCAGACCCCGGTGGAGGAGAGGCCTGGCCTTGGGTCTGGATGTCGGGTTCGCAGAGTCCCCTGCGAGGCCAGAGCGCCCCGAGGTGCCCCGCAGTCCCGTCACCCCTCACGGTTAGCACTGACTTGCTGCCAACTCTGGTCTGTGGATCCCCATCCCCTTCCCTCCCCGATCACTGAACAACCTTCATACAGATAGTCTCCAACTTCCATCCTTTCCTGGTTCTGAACATTTCTGAACAGTCATCTCCCCACTGTCCATCCAGTTCATCAAGAATACAGGCCACCCAGACTCTGATCAGTTAGAAATGCCGACACTCCTCTTTTGAAGCTTCTGCAGTTGGATGAAGAGTTACACGCTCACCTGAGCGGCCTCCACCTTAACTCACACTGCTCTAGGAGGTCACTGCACAAAGAAACAATGTAACACTTCCCCTCTGCCCACATTTCATGCCTTAAGAAGGAATGTTTAATTTGGTACCAATAGGTGAGCAATCTGGAAAAACTGCAAAGTATTTTAGAACGCTGATGTGGTGTTGCGACAGTAACAGTGGCGTGGGGAGGAACGTGTGGACAGGCAAGTCCAACAAACGCCTGGCTGACATCTTAAAAGGCTGGCGTGCACAGCAAGTTACCACACGTGCTGGACCGATCTAAGTCCTCTGGAAAATAAACACAGCATTTCTGGCGTAAACCACACAGTTTTTCTTTTCTATGAAAAGTTCTTTGAAGAATAATACACGACTGAAGAGACACAGGTGAAGAATCAACTGGCATGCCGGTTCCATGGGAAAGTCAAAGGCCTTTCAGGAACTATTCTGAATTCATAATTCAATTTACGAGGTTTCCAAAACAATCACTGTGGACTGCAAGAGGGATGGAAGACACCGCTTAAGGATTTAAAGGAAGCAGAAAGGACACACAGCATCTCCTGGCTGGCCGCAGGGTGGGTCCTGTCCCAGCAGCGGGTGCCTGACCCTGGCTAACTCCGGAATGCCTTGCTTATTCCACCATCAGCCACGTGGAAGCGTCAGAGCTCCGAGGGGCCATCACAGACCCCTTGCTTCTCACTGGCGGAAATGGCCTCCATGCTCAATTCAGTCTGGGTTCACGTAGCAGCAAGCATCAGCACTGTTTCTCAGCTCAGGAGTGACTGACCTGCCGCACTGAAGGGCGTCGCGGGGCGTTCAGCATCTCTGGCCCATGAGAGCACTGCGCTCAGCCCACCCTCAGGCGACCCGAGGGAAGCAGCTCTGTGCAGCCCCAAACACACCCGAGGAGCCCTGGGCCCGGGACCGCCCCGCGGGCCACGGGGTTAAGGCATCAATTCTGACAAACGCCCCTGACATCCGAGCCCATAACTGGGATTCACTGAGGAGGCCCGGGAAGGCAAATTCACACCCAGTGCGTTCTGCTGGAGAGGGCGGGGAGGGCACCCAGCACGGCGGCTGGCGGGTGGCGAGCCCCCAAGGAAGACGCGTCTCACCAGCAGGCACCCCGAAGAGAGCACGCACAGGACGTCCACATCTGCGGCCTCTCACGTCAGTGCCCCACAGAGACCTGGGTCAGAAAGATCCGCTGGAGAAGGGCTAGGCTGCCCACTCCAATATTCTTGGGCTTCCCTTGCGGCTCAGCTGGTAAAGAATCCGCCCGCAATGTGGGAGACCCTGGTTTGATCCCCGGGTTGGGAAGATCCCCTGGAAAAGGGAAAGGCTACCCACTCCAGTATTCTGGCCTGGAGAATTCCATGGACTGTTTAGTCCACTGGGTTGTAAAGAGACTCGGAGACTTTCACTCACACTCCCCAGAGAGACAGCCGGCCGAGCTCACGTCTCTAGAAGCTGTGCGGCTCCTCCACAGGATCGGCTTCAGGTGGCCGGGGCTCCACCCCGAGTGGCTTTCTGACCTGGCCACGGTGGGGGAAAGGGAATGCCTGCCCCGGGAGGGGCCCCTTCAGTTCCCGGAGCGGACAGCGTGGGACACAAGGCACAGACCCTGCAGATCCCACCCGACACACAGCCGACCTCACCTCAGGTGGACGTGCACACACACCCACGGAAACGGTACCACGTAAGGCATGCTACGTGCCTTACTGTATTTGGGCTTTCAAATTTAACAAATTATGAGTCTCATTAAATATTTTATTATAACATCATCTTCATTTTTTCACAATAAATAAAAATACTTATTTGAATGTAACGTTATTTTTGTGCATGCATGTGTGCAAAGTCGCTTTAGTCATGTCCAACTCTTTGCGACCCCATGGATTATACCCCATGGGGGTATAATCTGCTCTGTCCGTGGGACTTCCCAGGCAAGAATACTGGAGTGGGCTGCCATGCCCTTCTCCAGGGAATCTTCTCGACCCAGGGATCGAACCTTACCTCTGTCTCCTTCATTGGCAGGTGGGTTCTTACCACTAGTGCCACCGAAGAAGCCATAACATCATTTTTTCAGTTGAATGTGTACATATTCCACTGAAAAGACGAGAGGTGGCGAATGTGTTCAACTAGCCTCCCAACAATGGACTCCCAGATGCTTTCAGATTCTTTCCAATTATAAACCTCGCTCTGATGGGCGTCCTGAAAGCTGGCTATTCATACACCAGTGAGATTCTTTCCTCATAAATAACTACTCAGGGTGGGCTTTCTGGGTCAAAGCATACGCACATTTGGACGTGCATTTGAAAACTTAAGAAACTTTGTGCCAAATTATCAGTCCCTTCAGGGCTGCCTAAGCTGGCTATTTCCTCGCATTTTAATAGACATGGAATAATTATAAGTCAGATGAGAAAGTGAAAATAACTTCATCTTCTTTGATGACTGGTAAGATCAAACTTTTTAATGTTGTTATTTACAATACATAGTATTTATTTATGATTACACATTTATATATCTTGTGATCTATTGAGAGACCATCTAGTTTTTTTTTTATTTACCAAATCTGTAACAACTCTTTCTACATAAAGCACATTGCATGTGACACAAACACACTTTTCCACATCTAAAAGGAGAGGAAAGGGGATTTATCATCTGTAGGAGCTCAGCTGTCATGCAGCTCCCTTGCTGGTAACTATTTCTAAGACTCTGATTAGCACCTTAAAGACCTTCGTTCAGAGAAATCAACAGGGTTCCAAATTACCTAGTGACATCAGAGCAAACACTCTCATGATCAGAATCTTGGGACCTGCTGGAAAAAATCAGGGTTTTTCAAAGCTTGACAGGCCTTTCCCGTGTGAACATACAAGGAACAGAGATGGGGAGAAGCGAGGAGACGTGGCCGGGGACGCTCCCGCCCGCTGAGCGCACCCACCGGCCCTCAGGCGCGCTGGGGGCCCTGCGCCCTCACCTGGATGTTGTCGAACTTGAGGCCGGGCATGGTGAGGTCTTCCTTGTCCACGAACACCGAGCCGTACTGCTGCGTGGCGACCGAGACCAGGACGCTCCTGGTCGCCTCCCCGGGGATCCAGGCGTCGCTTCGCCGGTCCATCTCGCTCATGCTCAGGGCAGTGGCAAACGGGTCCTCGCTGCCGGCAAACACCGCCTGGATCTGTGAGAACGGCTTTGGGGACTGCGAGATCTCCAGAGGCGCCGTGGAGACACCCGACCCTCGCCTCTCCACCCCTGGGGAGGAGGCAGCATCCATGGAACCCGGGGAGCTTCCTCCCACGGGGGTAGCGGCGAGCGAAGACAGGCTTTCCGGAAGGGAAGGGCTGGCGTTGGGGTTACTGACGGAGATGAAGGTGGAGGTTGTGAAAGAATCAAAGAAGTCCGAGGCCAAGGAGCTGCTGCCGGTCGGATCGCCGAAGAACTTGCTGAGGCTGGGGCTCGGCTGGACCGCCTGGGGCGGGGTCCTGGGGGCAGCCTCGCTGGCGCCGCTGAAGCTGGGGGACTTCACCATCTGGGACTCGAAGCCGTCACGCAGGGCTGGGGTGGGGGCGCCGGGGGGCGGCTGGCTAAAGATGGTGCACACGGGCACCGGCTCGTCCTTGGGGGCTGGCTGCCGGGGGGACGCTCCTGACGGCGGACCTGCCGCGGGCACCCGCTCAGCCCCCGGACCCGGGTCCTCTGCACCCCTGTGTTCAGAAGCAGGCGGGTCTTCCACGTCGCCACGCTCGGGGTCCTCTTTCAATGACGCTCTGCTATCAGGGGTCATGTCTGAGACGTCCTGAGGCGTGTCCCCGCCATCACTCTCACCGCCGTCACTCAGAGAGCCCAGCGTGCCCTCTTCTGCGCAGGGCCCCAGCCTGTGATCGCCACTGCCCTCGGCGGGCTCACCCACGTCCTGCAGACACCCCAGGTCACCCGTGTCATCTTCGCTGTTGTTTGGGGAGTCGGAGATGAGCACGCTCTCCATCAGGGGCTCATCGAGCTTATCCGCGAAATTATTCGAATCCTCGGATTCGAACTCGTCTCCACCGAGATCGATGGTCTCCTCGTGGTAAAGAAGCTGGCCCGGGTCTCCCTGAGGGCCCTGTGGAGCGATGCTCTGGGCTGGCCCCTGGGCGGGCGAGCTCTGCTCGGGCACATGCTGGCCGGCACCTTCGGCATTCTCCATGGCCACCTGAAATGGACAAAGGCATGTCAAGCTCAGCAGCTTATATCTCGGTGTTAGAATGGCTTTGTCTTATAGAAATTGTAGATGGCCTTAACTACTTCCCACAGGGCAACGCAGTAAGAGAAGACTCGTCCCTAACCCATCATTATGTAAACTGGATCCTTACAGCAAGAAGCAATGACTTCAGCAACAATTAAAGAACCCTGGACTAAACCTATGATTTTTCAAAATCTGACCTGTGAAGTAGGCAAAGACTTTTACAATTGACAGTTTTGGGGAATTTATGGGACACTTACTTATTGATAAGGGAATGCAACCTTTCTCAAACACCCTCTTCCAACAACACAAGACATGACTCTACACATGGACATCACCAGATGGTCAATACTGAAATCGAATTGAGTATATTCCTTGTAGCCAGAGGTGGAGAAATTCTATACAGTCAGCAAAAACAAGACCGGGAGCTGACTGTGGCTCAGGTCAAGAACTCCTTATTGCCAAATTAACACTTAAATTGAAGAAAGTAGGGAAAACCATTAGACCATTCAGGTATGACCTGAATCAAATCCCCTATGACTATACCGCAGAAGTGACAAATAGATTCAAGGGATTAGATCTGATAGACAGAGTGCCTGAAGAACTATGGACAGAGGTTCATGACACTGTACAGGACGCACTGATCAAGACCATCCCCAAGAAAAAGAAATGCAAAAAGGCAAAATGGTTGTCTGAGGAGTCCTTATAAATAGCTGAGAAAAGAAGAGAAGCTCAAGGCAAAGGAGAAAAGGAAAGATATACCCATTGGAATGCAGAGAAATAGAGGAAAACAATAGAATGGGAAAGACTAGAGATCTCCTCAAGAAAATCAGAAATATCATGGGAACATTTTATGCAAAGATGGGTTCAATAAAGGACAGAAATGGTAGGCACCTAACAGAAGCAGAAGATATTAAGAAGAGGTGGCAAGAATACACAGAAAAACTGTACAAAAAAGATCTTCATGACCCAGATAATCACAATGGTGTGATCACTCACCTAGAGCCAGACATCCTGGAATGTGAAGACAAGTGGGCCTTAGGAAGCATCACTACGAAGAAAGCTAGTGGAGGTGATGAATTCCAGTTAAACTATTTCAAATCCTAAAAGATGATGCTGTGAAAGTGCTGCACTCAATATGCCAGCAAATTTGGAAAACTTAGCAGTGGCCACAGGACTGGAAAAGGTCAGTTTTCATTCCAATCCCAAAGAAAGGCAATGCCAAAGAATGTTCAAACTACTTCATAATTTCACTCACCTCACACGCTAGCAAAGTAATGTTAAAATTCTCCAAGCCAGGCTTCAACAGTACGTGAACTGAGAACTTCCAGATGTTCAAGCTGGATTTAGAAAAGGCAGAGGAACCGGAGATCAGATTGCCAACATCCATTGGATCATCGAAAAAGCAAAGAGAGTTCCAGAAAAATATTGACTTTTGCTTTATTGACTATGTCAAAGCCTTTGACTGTGGGGATCACAACAAACTTTGGAAAATTCTGAAAGAGATGGGAATACCAGACCACCTGACCTGCCTCCTGAGAAACCTGTATGCAGGTCAAGAAACAACAGTTAGAACTGGACATGGAAGAAACTGGTTCCAAATCGGGAAAGGAGTATGCCAAAGCTGTATAGTGTCACCCTACTTATTTAACTTATATGCAGAGTACATCATGAGAAACGCTGGGCTGGAAGAAGCACAAGCTGGAATCAAGATTGCTGGGAGAAATATTGATAACCTCAGATATGCAGAGGACACCACCCTTATAGCAGAAAGTGAAGAAGAACTAAAGAGCCTCTTGATGAAATTGAAAGAGGAGAGTGAAAAAGCTGGCTTAAAACTTAACATTCAGAAAACTAAGATCATGGCATTTGGTCCCATCACTTCATGGAAAATTGACGGGGAAACAATGGAAACAGTGACAGACTATTTTTGGGGGGCTCCAAAATCACTGCAGATGGTGACTGCAGCCATGAAATTAAAAGATGCTTGCTCCTTGGAAGAAAAGCTATGACCAACCTAGACAGCATATTAAAAAGCAGAGACGTTACTTTGCCAAAAAAGGTATGTCTAGTCAAAGCTATGGTTTTTCCAGTAGTCGTGTATGGATGTGAGAGTTGAACTATAAGGAAAGCTGAGTGCCGATGAATTGATGCTTTTGAACTGTGGTGTTGGAGAAGACTCTTGAGAGTCCCTTGGACTGCAAGGAGATCCAACCAGTCCATGCTAAAGGAGATCAGTCCTGGGTGTTCATTGGAAGGACTCATGCTGAAGCTGAAACTCCAATACTTTGGCCACCTGATGCAAAGAGCTGACTCATTGGAAAAGACCCTGATGCTGGAAAAGATTGAAGGTGGGAGGAGAAGGGGATAGAGGACGAGATGGTTGGATGGCATCATTAGCTTGATGGACATGACTCTGAGCAAGCTCCGGGAGCTGGTGATGGACAGGCAGGCCTGGCATGCTGCAGTCCATGGGGTTGCAAAGAGCTGGACACAACTGAGCGACTGAGCTGAAGCGAGCCTTTCTGAAGAGCTCGGCAAAGAATAAAACTCTGACAAGCAATTCCGTGTTTACCAACTCACTTAAAATATATTTTTAAAGAGAACACCATCTAAAAGAAAGAAAGTCAAGTAAAAAGGAACACTCAGTCTGTAACAGTCTCTTCAGTAACTGTTTTCATTTCAATCTGACTTTTAAAACTAAAGTCCACCTCTTTTCTAGTGATACCTTCTACACAGATGATGCCCCATCCAGAGTAAAAATTAGATTGTTTACCATAGTTTCTAAACAGAAACTACACTTTTGTTAGAAACCATTACCAGAGGTTGAAGTGTTGGGCAGAAAAGTCTTGCAAATCAGTAATCGTTATCAGCTGAGTGCCACTGTGTCTGAGCCATTACCCTGCACTCCATGAAATGACAGAGGAAACGAGGTTAACTGCAACACACATGCCCCCCCCCGACCCCCGCCACGCAAGAGAGAGGGATCTAGGTGGAAGTGGGCAGTAGCGAAAGCCCCACCTGTCTCCTGACTTCTTTCCCTAGAAAACCTTAGAAGGTTCTTGTCACTCTCTCTGACTCTTCTGAAGGCAAATTTTCTATAAACCATTTTTTTCAAACACTGACTGACACAATATTTATAACCTGTGGCTGATATAATACATCCTAACTCCCTTTTCAGACCTAATATTCTGAGATCTGTCATACTCTTGTTCTTCTTTCATTTTCCTTGTGTATTTCCTCAAACAACATGTTAGATTTTTGCTTTTTACTTTAATTTCTCCTCCGCTTTTAACCTTGAGACTCACTCCTGTAAGCAGCATGAAGCTGTAATTCCTCATTTTTGCTGACGATGCTCTAGTGTGTGATGGTTCCACAACCTACTATCCCTTCTTTTTTTTTGGCCACCTCATGTGGCATGTGGAATCTTAGTTCCCTGACCAGGGATCAAACCTGTGCCCCATGTATTGGGAGCACAGAGTTTCAACCACTGGACTGCCAGGGGAAGTCCTGATGTATCTATCCTTCTTGAGGAGTACTGCTATGAATACTCCTGTATGTGCCGCCTGCTGCATGTGTGAAAGCTCACTCATATTATTAAAAGTGAAGCACGTGGGGGCGTCGTGGACAGTACAATTCTTCATCAGCTAACACCGCACTGTTTCACTAAGTCCATGTACCAATTCACACACCTGGTAGTGGTGTGTGTAAGTGTTCTTCCCGTTCAGCACAGTCACCAACGCTTGACATTGTTACACTTCTTAATATCAAGATATTAAAAATTCCTACAAATCAATAGGATTATAAATTATCCAACAGAAAAGTATCCTGAACAAAGATCTGAACACAGTGAGAGAGATACACATTCCACAAGCGTTTGTCCTGTGACTTAAACAGCCACGTAGCTTGATTTTATCAGGATGATTCCTCATTGGACCAACAGTTACAGTAAAAATTAAGCACCTCTTTTCAGTCTCAAGAGTCCTGGCTGACACAGCAATCAGAGCAGAAAAAGAAATAAAAGGAATCCAGATTGGAAAAGAAGTGAAACTCACTGTCTGCAGATGACATGATCCTCTACATAGAAAACCCTAAAGACTCTACCAGAAAATTACTAGAGCTAATCAATGAATATAGTAAAGTTGCAGGATATAAAATCCTGCACAGAAATCCCTTGCATTCCTATACACTAACACTAACAATGAAAAAACAGAAAGAGAAATTAAGGAAACAATACCATTCACTATTGCAACAAAAAGAATAAAATACTTAGGAGCATATCTACCTAAAGAAACAAAAGACCTATATATAGAAAACTATAAAACACTGATGAAAGAAATCAAAGAGGACACAAACAGATGGAGAAATATACCGTGTTCATGGATTGGAAGAATCAATATTGTGAAAATGACTATACTACCCAAAGCAATCTATAGATTCAATGCAATCCCTATCAAGCTACCAATGGTATTCTAACAGAACTAGAACAAATAATTTCACAATTTGTATGGAAATACAATAAACCTTGAATAGCCAAAGCAATCTTGAGAAAGAAGAATGGAACTGGAGGAATCAACCTGCCTGACTTCAGGCTCTACTACAAAGCCACAGTCATCAAGACAGTATGGTACTGGCACAAAGACAGAAATATAGATCAATGGAACAAAATAGAAAGCCCAGAGATAAATCCACGTACCTACAGACACCTTACCTTCAACAAAGGAGGCAAGAATATACAATGGAAAAAAGACAACCTCTTTAACAAGTGGTGCTGGGAAAACTGGTCAACCACTTGTAAAAGAATGAAACTAGAACACTTTCTAACACCATACACAAAAATAAACTCAAAATGGATTAAAGATCTAAATGTAAGACTAGAAACTACAAAACTCCTAGAGGAGAACATAGGCAAAACACACTCCGACATAAATCACAGCAAGATCCTCTATGACCCACCTCCCAGA